AATGTTTTTTTTTTTTTTTTTTTTTTTTTTTTTTTTTTTTTTTTTTTTTTGTGTGATTCCTTACAAATATTTCTTATTCCTTTAGCCTGGACTTCCTATCCGTACCCCATCCAGAGGATTCAAAACGCCACAGCCAAGGAAGCTTGAGAAGAACAAGGAAAACATGTCCACTTTAAATGGAACCGCTATAAGCGGTGGGTGCCACCTCACAATTCCTGCCCAGCGTAACCTCAGCGTTAACTCTGTTGCCAGCACCTATTCTGAGTTTGCGGTAATTCACATTTTCTTAGAAAACCACAAACCTCAGCACACAGTCAGAGGGGATATACTGCAAAACCTTAGAGTTGGTACTAAAGGAGTTACTGGACAAGATTTAGTTTTGCTTGTTCAGTTGATTTAAAGGGGATTGTTTGGGTTTATATAATTATATTTTCTCATACATATAGTTTATACTTTTAGAACCTTTTATCCATATACAGGTCAAGAACACAGCCCAGTAATTGCGTACCTGCTATAGACTATGCAGTTGACTGATCTTCTCTAAAGAGAACCTGACCTTGGGTAGAAGGGGTCAAACTTGGTAAACCCTTCTTTTCCAAGATTAAGCCCTACCCACTAACTGCACATAGGCTTGCACCCTTCATATGTCTTCCACCCTTCATGTGTTTTAAATGCCAAAGCCCCTGTGGGCAGTTGGATTACTTTTGGTATTTAACAATTTTGAGAATAAGGGTGAACTTAATCATAACTTCGAATGAAATTGAGGATCTTTATACAGCCTGTGCCTAGGATTCAAGTGGTGGTCCAAAGAAACACAATCCATTTGAAATCGAACACTGGTACTGCAATATTATCATTTTAGGTTTGTTTCAATGAAAGGGCTTAGGTGTGATATAGATGCTTTTATCTGAAAAGTGGGATTGGTCATTAGGAAGCTGCTATCTGATGAACAAGTAGGCCTGTCTGATGTCGCAATTTTTAAAAAGCTTTTTTTTACACCCAGCAATGTATATCTTTAGTCTTGGAGCTATGGTGCATGTGCTGTGCTGCATCTGAAAATATGCTGCAATGTTTTATCTTGATGAATTACCTCAGTCGTATTTAAGGTTATCGTCCCTTATTTGAGTTCAACTCTAATACACTGGAGGGAATTTATCAAAACTGCATCAGACATAATCTGGAGCAGTTGCCCGTGGCAACCAATCAGCTTCTCTATTCAGTCTGTTCAGTTAAGCTTTGAAAATGATAGAGTGGAAGCTGGTTGGTTGCCACGGGCAACTGCTCCAGATTGTCTGATCCAGTTTTAATAAATTCTCTGTTATTTATAATAAGGCATCAAATTGATCTATCCTGAGGGAGATTACTGTATTTACAAAAAAATAACCGATGAAGGATATTGGACAAGAAAAAATAGGCCTTATTGGTTCTGTTACCAGTTCCAGCACCATTGGCAATGGATCTAGAGGCTATTTTCCCACTTTTGATTCAGTTTCCCAGCTCTTCAAAGGTGCACATTTATTCCATCTCCCTAATGTCTGCTATGCTTTCTCTTATCGTAGAACTGATTTAATTTGCTTACCCCCAGCTGACACTTTTTGCTAATATTTTTTCATGTCATGTAGTTCTTTACCTTCAGTTACTGCTCTGCCGGCTAGTAGCCTTAACATCTGTGCTTAGTAAAGTTCCAGAGCTGGCTGAGATTTCCTGTTCCCCTGCTCTTTCGCTGCTGATGGGCCTTTTTCTGACTTGCCATTTGTCACTAGGGTTAGTATCTAGTCCCAACAACTGACTTTTTCAGCTCCCACTTTACTTTTTTAGGTAGGTGGTCCCTGGAAGGTATGGGAAGGGAGGCCATCACCAAACTTTTCACTTTATATTTATCGGGTGCTTTGGTTATTTCCGCCAGCTTTGTACTCCATTGCTCCTTGCTTCTTCCTGTCCCTTTCCTCCATACCTCTAACCAGGGATTGACAGGTGGTCATTCTAAATACTAAAAACTTTTCCCCCAAATCTTGGTTGGCATACATAAGATTGTTCCCACCCTCACATAGCAAAGACAACCCCCTAAACACTTTAAAAAAGCATTCCTCTTTATTGCTGCCTAGGACTTGTGTCTCCCCACCCCAAGTTTATGTTCTGTGTGTGTGTATACCCTCCTTCCTTGCTGATGGTGATGTAGGAACTAGAGGAACTCTGCAAACCTGAGGCTGGTGGAAGGGGAGAGAGTACTCTGTTTGGGGGCAACTCCTGGCAGCTTTCTTTCTTGAGACAGCTTGAAAGCCAACAACCGCGTAGTTTACAATGAACAGTTGCACGATCAAAAACAGCTCAGCATCTGAATCGCCTAGGTGTGAACCCAGCCTCAAACACTGCTCTCCAGAACATCCATGCTGGTCTAATGTCTAGATCTAGTGAATGGGGAGTTTTTTGACTTTAGCTTATTTTTCTTGAAGCCACTTTTGAATTAATTTTCTTATGGATGCATCATCATTCCAGAATATATGCAGGACAAATATTAGACCCAATGACCCCATGTGGCTGCCTATAATATCATGGAACCTGCACCATGTTTTGGAGCTGGCAACTGTGTAACTTTTTTCTAACAAACCATTATTCTCCCTGGCAGGCCCTTCTATGCAATGTGCTATAGCTGCCATGTCAATTTGTCACTCTAGGAGTATGTACTAAATTTCCGAATTACCCTTTCTGATCATTGAGTTTTAGAACATTTTGAGCCAATACACACAACATTACACTACTGTGTTGATGGGTTATTGGATATTGATAGTCTCCTTTCCAGAATGAGTTTTCATATATGTTAATGTGCAGAGGACTGTGGCTGAAATATTGGTCTGCGGAACAATGCAACAAACGTTTCCTGCATGTGCCCTTTGAGCAAGTGTTTGTAGATCACCAAAGAAAAAGCATTGGTGCTTGGAGAATATAGCTGAACAGGCGTGATGTGCCCCCTTTTATCTCAAGGCTTGCTTTTACAAACTTGGTTTTGACTGGAGAGCTTAATTTTAGTACAAAACATTAGTGATGGTGCTACTTATAGGGAGTTCTATGCTGTCGGTCTTGTGATAGTGGCTTATGAAGATATTCTTGTGTGGGTCACTGAATGATATCCATAGTGGTGAGTGGGAAGCTTTTGGAGGTTTTCTACGATTACACAGGATACACACTTTTACTCCACATTCGTATTGGCGAATTTGATCTACATGGTTTTTACTCCTATTCTGTATTTATAGAGGGATTCCACACATATTGATTCTACAACCATATACTCCAGGTCTGTATCCAGTACATGTGGTTTCTGCATGCTTATGGGATTCATCTTAGGTGATCTGTTCTTTCCTACGCTTTGTACATTCTACATGGTTTCCTGAGGTTAGAGTAACAATACCAGAGGAAAGCGGGCATAACTGTACAATCTCACACCAGTATATCACCCATTTGTTCAAAGAAAGTCTGTTTCACAGGGCCGCCACCATCACCATAGAATCCATCCAATTAATGTTTCTTGTACCTGTGTATAGGATACTTGAACCTGACTGTGTGGTGCTGTTATAACAATCATTTCTCTGATGCTTCTAACATAAAATGTGTCTAACATTCTACTAACCACCACTTACTATGCAAAAAATCTACCAGTTTTCTATTGCAGCTTATTGCTAAAATTTAACTAACCTTGTGGGTTTTTTTCTCTACCTAACCTAATTAACGTGTAATGTGCCCTTTTGCATCCAAAATCGGAACTCCTACCTGACCCTTATGTGCTTGATGATCATGAACTCATAACTCAAGATTCTGATTTGAAAGTGGAAATCTAGAAGATTTAAAAAGTCACCCTAGCAGGGTAGATGTAAAAAAAAAGTCCATTGGAGGTTATACGCCATGCTGGAGTTCAGTTTAAATGTTCTAGAACAGTGGTTCTCAACTCGTGGGTCGCGACCCAAAAGTGGGTCGCGACACCCTCTGCAGTGGGTCGCGGCGTCATGTCTGCATAGAGCGGCAGATGTAGTGAAAACAGAGGGAATGAGCTGTAGCCAAGTTATTAAATCTGTACATGTGCCTAGTAACTTCACATACATTTGTTTAGTAGGCATTGCTCATGTTCAAGTATACAAATAGGTTTAGACCTATGTTAACAGTGCTAGGATCTTTTAATAAATGTCGTATTTCAGATCTTTATTTTGGTTGCAAATCTTAATCTCTTATGTTTAGCTAATGTCCACACTACTATAATGCTGTTATTTGAAGCTTGATGATATTTAATACTGTATTATATTTAAAAAAATGCAATTATTTATATATGTATAGATTCCCTATAGGTTGTGTGTTCCATAGGAAGCCAGTCATAGTTATATATCGTATCATACTGATCTATCACTGGTGTACTAACCATGCGCTCCATTTATCGACTGACTGAAGGGCACACGGTATCCACTGTAGGGATGACTATCTACTTGTAAAATTCTGTTTTTTGGTATTATATGTTCGGATACATGAAAGCATTGTTTTGGTTGGCTCCTAAACTAGAATTGTGTGAATACATCACAATGGAGAACCATTATCCATACAGTGGTTATACGAAGCTCTACTTTGCCTTTACATCTTGTCATGTGTTTTCTAACCAACGTCTTGCAGTACTTCACATCATTAGCAGCGCTCAGGTGTTAAATGTATCTGATCAGCTTGGTGGCAGATTGTACAACACTGTTACTTTTCAGACTCCCTTAATGCATGAAGTCTACATCTTTCTGCTGTAGCAAATTGTCAGAAATGTTCCTAATGGAAGCTCAGCTTTGGGCCCTGCTATGTGTTTCTTATACAGCAACTTACCAGAATTGCTTCTCTCCTTAACACCCTTTATTTATTTTTAACACTTGTGCACTGAACATTTTTGAAAAGCGTACATATAGTTTTAATTTCAAATGATGGTCCAGTAATAGAATCTGGTCGCATATTTTATCTATATACGACTTTGTGATTTTTAGACTGCAACTTATTTATGGTTAAAATTGTGTCACTTTTCAAAGATGTTAATCTGCATGTTTTCTTTCTTTCACTTTTCTCCTAGTTTTCCTCCATTTTAAAGAAATTTTTTTTTTTTTCTTTTGCAGCGAGAACTTTCAAAAGCTACAAGAGCTGACTCAAACCCTGTAATCCTGAACTCTACTATATCCAATATGTAGTATCCAAACTGACCTGGATTCAGCTGTACATTTGCATCGCCTGCCACTCACTGTGGCTGCAGTGTGTGTATATAGTTGGGACTTTTTTGATGAAGGGTGCCTTCCAGGACTGTAAGACGGGAAATCTGCGCCGAAGCCCATGCTAACTTTGCACTGTAAATTCATCTCTTAGCTTGTTATGGATAAGCCTTGGCCTCAAGATAAACTATTCTATATATTCCTTTAAGGTTGCCAAATGGTAGTATGCATTTATTTGAGCTGTACTGTATAATAAGAGTACTATAATCCTTGGATATGGATATTTTGGCTCCAGTTCTCACTGCAAGGTTTAATGTTTTCTGTATATATACGGTTCTTGGTTTTGAATTAATCATGAACACCTTTTGCACATGTAAATGTCACTACAGCTATTTCCACAAAATGGTTTTATTTCCCAATGATAGCTGTTATGTAGTTTGGGTTTTAAGCATGTAGGGTTTTTTTAAGCTCCATTTAACCTTCAGTGTTAATTTTATCTTGTTTTAACCTTTTTAAGTATACAAGTGGGTAACTTGACAGCTAATATGCAACACTAATGAGGTTATCTTTCCTTTTGTCAGTTTAGTTCAGGGAGATAATTGTGTCCCAATATTGTATTACATGCCAATATAGGAGCTACCCTTTTTGGCTGTTGTCCCCCCCTGCCCCATTACCTACCCCCCAAGGTACACTCCCTGGGGTTGTCACCCTCATTTCACAGACTAGGTATGGAGTTATTGTTGGGACTCCTGATGTGCAGTGAAGATCATGGATGACTTCCAGTGCTCTCACCTTTTAAAAAAACAAACTACATTTTGGGTGATAATCTGGCAACTGCAGGTGCTGACAGCGTTTTAACACAATTTTACTGTCTTTCTTTTAAACGTATTTTAGATATTTAGGGGAGGAAGCCAAAGTTTAGGGGTAAGCAGCACAACCTCAAAGCACAGATGTTTTCTTGGAGGAACAATGTCACTCCTGTATCTGCATGGCCAAACTATATAGAGTACCTGCAAAGTGATGTGGGTTCCCCAGGTCTTGCCCATCAGACTTCTTCCTGGAAGAATTTCACTCCAGTAACTACATGACTAAACCAGAAATTACCTGTGAAATGGGGACACACAGTACCTCAGAACTTGTCCACAGACGCCTTCCTGGAGAAACGATCTACAGGAGTACGGAATGGGAATGTGGTTTCTCACCAGATTGAAAAGCACTACAGTGATCTCAAAATGTGAGCCCCTATTTTAGTATGGAATATTGAAATATTCCCTCTGGTTTCCAAAACAGTCATTTGTTTAGTCAGAAAGTAATGCGTTATGTCCAATACCAGCCACCCTTTTAGTTTTAGGTAACGGAGCCCAAGACTCTGAAACTTGACATGCATATGTTACTGTATTCAAATTGTAGATCATTTTTTACTATTCTCAACGCCACTATGGGTTACAAAACCCAGATAACTTAATACAGACTACGCTGTACTTGTTTATGCAAAAAAGGTACTTTTCTTGATGTCAGTAAAGACCCAACCCATAGCATCATTTGAGAAGATAAAATGACTTCGTGAAAATGCACCTGATGTATTGCTTTTGTTTTTTGTACAGTTCCTGTATAGTAAATTAATCCAATATGCTTAAAATGGCTGTTCCCTGGTGTGTTTATTTTTTTTCTTCAATTTATCAAAAGACATTAACTGCATATAAATCTTTTACATAAACGCTAACCTGCAGGGACATGAATGCAGTTAAGATTACGATACTCTCTAGATTTCTTATGTTCCAACCACATGAGCTGCTGGCGTCTAGGTTTTACTGCTCCGGATTTGCTCACATAGCCCCATCCTGTTGGGTTTGGAAGGGCATTTGCATGACCTGTCAATCAAGCCATGCAGGACAGACCAGGAATCTTAGTAGCTCTGGTCCTCTCACTGATTGGAAATTACTGCACAGAGGCAGTTGCATAATTGGCGGCCCTGGTTTTAGGAAAGAACATTTCAGCCACTGGTCTTATAAACTAGGCATTGGGGACAGTAAACTCTAGAAAGTAGAACATTACAGACCAATTATGCTGCACTACATGGAAAAATTGACTAGAGGTTAATCCAAGGTAAGAACTCTAAGCTGCAGAGGTCAGTGAAGGCTTGTTTGAAAATACAGATGGAACGTTTTGTAGAAACCATCAAATCTAGTATGATTTACCTCACATCTGTGCACAGGAGAGAAACTGAGTGTAAGCACTGCCTGCTGCTTTGGAATGACTGAGTGTAAAGGAGGTCCATACAGCTAAAGTCTTATTGTAAATTTGTACTTCACTTTTTAAAAATATGTAAATAATGGTCCATAGTCTGGCACGGGTTCACTCGGCTACATTAGGCAATTTAGATCTTATTGCTGCATAGATTTAACAGCATGTTGACGTTCACTAGATTTTAAGCACATTAGAATTAATGTGATTTTTATTAGAGAAGTGTCGACTAGCTCAGTAGCAAAGAGATTTCTTGATTGTACATCACAGAACACTGGAGGTTAAGTCTTGAATGTATGGGTTTTGCAGCTACCTTTTTAGGTGATTTTTGGGCACTGGGAAATAAAAGCTTTAAGGACAGCCCTATATAATCCTTTTGGCACCTAGCCTGCCTCTGTTTTTGCTAGTGCCCTTAGGTGATGGACACCACCTCAGCTCTGAGAGAAGCACATGCTTTTCTACACTATGTACACTTTTTCCGCTTCAAAACCCTTTTGTAGGAAGTTTTCTTCAGCTGCTTCCAGCTACTGTTGCATACCTCAACAGCCAGATTGTTTGTTTGTTTTTCTCTTTGGCTGAGGCTTGACAAACCATACCTGGACACCACTGGAAGAAAGATGTGGGGCTGCCCTGGAATGTGCTCAGGGCACTGGATCCTGCATTGGGTGCTCACCTTAGTGCAGCATGTGGAGTAGTCACAGGATGCTATACAGGTCCTGGGCTGTTGTCCATCTGCTGGTAGAGCCATGTACCTGAAAACCCCTTTAACGCTGCATGCCTGCCAGACAGACAAAGGGTTGGGCATGTCCCTTTAAATTGGCAGCTGCAACCTTCCAGGTGAGACTGCAAGTAGAGTAAGGTGAAGGCCAGGTGCCCAGTGTTTTTGCTCTGGTCAATATGGGACATTGCTGCAACTCTTGTGTTGCAGCATTAGGTGGCTGGGACAGCTAGGTCTTTACATTTGGTGCCACTTTTGTAGCTGTGTGCAACAGATTCTGTACTTGAATCTCCTGATCTGTCTTTCCAACAAGACAGACTTGCCCTGGCATAGCAGATTCCAACCTCAGTGCTGGGATAAAGGAAGTCCTTCCTATGGTCTGGAAGGTACTCGCAACGGATCCCACATGGAGCGGGGGGAAGGAGCTTAGGGCAATTCTTTTGTCCCTTCCATGCTGGACTACTTGGGTTACAGGGGCACCCAACCAGGACTGAGTCTGCCCGCCATATACATTCCAAGTATGCAAAATTTTAAGTCACTCTTCCTTAGTTGTCAACGTCTGGATCCCGGAGAATGGCCCCTTCACCATTTTGCAGGTGGAGATGCTGGAAGGAATCCCTGGGCCTTCTCAGTGAATGCTTTGGTCACTCTGGGATCAGTTCAGCTTGATCTGCACCTTCCCTCCTCTGAAACTCTTGCCTTTCCTCCTTTTGTAGAATTGAGACAAAGGCATTCCGTTGATCTTCATTGCGACCAACTGGCCTGGGCGGACTCTGGTATGCAGACATAGTCAAACGCCTGGCAGGATCTCTGGGCGCTACCAGATTCTCCGGACCTCCTGTCTCAAGGACCGGATCGACCTTCCGCCATGCTTTTCGGTCGCTGGCTGTTGAGGCCAAGGTCCTCAAGGCCAGGCCTTTTGAATGCTGACATGCCTATGCTCCCAAAAGCTAGGAAAATAACTTTCTGCAAAGTCTACCATTGCACTGGAAAGGCTTATTTTGCTTGTTGCATAGTGAGGGAGTTCCATCCCAGGAAATACTCCATCAGATGTTTCTTATCTTTCCTCCAGTCTGTCCTAGACCACCGTTTTTTTTAGCCTGGAGTACCATAAAGGGTTGAATGTCTTTCGCTTCTCTCCCAAGGACCAATTGCCTCTTGTTCCCTAGTAAAGAACTTTGTGCAGGAGATTGATCATGGTTTCCCCCCTGTATGCACTCTGGAGGCTCCATGGGACCTCAACTTGAACTTGTTGTCTCTTTAGAAGCCACGCTTTGAAACTCTGAGATATCGCTCTGACCCTACTCACTCTCAAGGTTGTTTTTCTTGTTGCCATCACTTCTTTATGTGTGTTCCAAGGTGGTGGCCTTGGCTTTTAAAGAGCCTTTTCTGCTCATCCCCAAGGATAAGGTAGGGTTGAGGCCTTAGGACTCTTCTTTTCTAAAGTGGTCTCTGCCTTCCACTGGGACATTGTTTTCTCTTCCTTATGCCCTGCATGAAAATCCTAAAGAAGTTCTCTCCAGTGCTTGGCTGGGGTTTGGGCTGTATGATGGTACCTCGCTGCTTCAGCTTCCATTAGCAAGTTTGACTCCCTCTTCGGTATATCTGAAAGTGTGGCAACTGGCTTTTTGTTCCACTATCGCTAGGTGGATTTTAACAGAAGAAATAAGTCCTATATATTTTTGTCCAAAAACTAATCGCGAAGAGACAAGACCACCAGGTATGAATGACCTCACCCTCAATGCTACACCCCCTGAAACACTGACTGGGATATGTAGGTAGGAGGTGCTTGGAAGTTTTATTTTCTTTGCTGTGAGTCCTTAGCCTCCCCCCTGTGCTTTTTCTATATTGAAAATGTTGTCCTTCCTTCAACTTGGGATAGATCAATGTTTAGCTTTAAGTACCATAAAGGGTCAGATATCTGCCTTGTTGGGTCTTCTTTTTTTTCAGAATCAAGCTCCTGTTAGCGCTCTTTCACACACGTGCATTGAGAATTTAATGACAAAGCAACGCTGATGTAACACACCTATATGTTAAAGCATTCAGTGTGCATTTTCAAGGCATTAGGGAGGCATCAAACACACTTGCAAAATGCCCTGCTAGTAGGGGAGTGTGTTAAAGGGAAGTGGCCAGCAGAAGTCGCAGGAGCTAGGCAGACTTGGGGGGTCATACAATTATGGGTGTTGCTCTACTGCTTGAATTATCCTTGCAACATTTCTTTCTGACATATTTCAGGCTAGAAGCTGTCCTATTTTTTGTTGAGAAACCTCTCTGTGACATTCCTGTATAATCCTACCTGAACACAGATCTAAAACCTTTTTCTTTATTGTCCATTGAAGAACACAGGAATTCAGTAAGGTTTCCTGCAGTGTACGGATGCACAAATACTAGTATCGGTGCCGATACCGTATATTTGGGCGAGTACGTGTACTCGCCCAAACTCTCGATGTCTATCCTGATACCAGAACTTCCAGGATCAGGAAGCCGGGCGGTGTGTAATGACTTGCTGTCTGGCTTCCTGATTTGGTTGGGAAGCTAGTCAATCAGGAACCTGGGTTGCGAGTCATTACCCTCCCCCCCCGGCTTCCTGATTGGCCAGAAAGCTGGTTTCATGCTTCATCACCTGGTGACGAAGAGCGTGGGGACTGAATCAGGAAGCCGGGGCCATGTACTGACTCACCGCCCATGTTCCTGATTGGCCAGAAAGCCAACTTCATGCTTCCTCGTCACCTGGTGACGGCTAATCAGGAAGCCGGGTGGTAACTCATTACAAACCAATTGGCTCCCTGGCTAATCAGGAAGCTGAGCGGAGAGTCATTACACGTCGCCCGGCTTCTTTAATGGGACTTCCGGTACCGGCGAGTACTGAAAAAAGAATATCGGTACTCAATACAAACAAAAACGGTATCTGTGCATCCCTGCTACAGGGGAAATGGATACTAACAAAAAAAAAAAAAGAAGCTTTTTATGTTTTATGCATGGGAGAGCCCTAATCTTTTTCTGCTCAGTCTTACTAGGGAAATAGTTACTGTTCATTTCCTGTGTCATCCCTGACTACCAATGAATTGTACAGCAGCTGATGTGGACACATTTGCTAGGTGCCTGGGGCACACACTCTGGCCGGCGACGCGGGTGTAATTGAGGTGGGTCAGCGTATGAGAACCGTCCCCAGTCTGAGGGTGCTTGTAGCCGGATGGATCGTCTGCTCGGAAAGACGGCCGGCCGGGAAGGTAGAGAGGCCAAATATCGACGACTTTTTCAAAGCTCAGCGGAACTGGGAGGGTCTTCCGAACGGGAGGGGCCGAGGAGGATGGTCAGGTGGACCACTGAGCCTGGCGGGGCTCCGGAGACACCGGGCCGTCATCAGGGAGGTGGGTGAGCCAGTCTGGCAGTCGCACCAGGGGTATCCGGAGTAATTCACATAGGCCTGGCACGTCGGCTGGGGTCCGGACCGTGTACGAGGCACCCTCCTTGCGGACGTGCAGGCGGATCGCGTATCCCCATCTGTAAGAAACGAGATGTCTTGCTGCACTCCTTACCGCAATGTGCCATTAAAATGGATCATTGATTTACTATTGCGGTGTGCTGGTGACATTATTATCCCCATCTGTAAGAGGCGCCGGCCTGGAGAATCACAGAGGAGAAGCAAGGCCTGGCGCCGTAGGGGGGTTGCGTGAAAGGTCAGGCAGGACCTGTAGGGCCACCCCGTCGAATTCGACTGGTTTCTTCAGCCAGGCCTGGCGCAGGATGTCCTCCTTCATGGAGTAGTATTGAAGCCGGCAAACGACATCTCGTAGGCGGGATGCGTCCGGAGAAGGTGGGCATAGAGTGCGGTGCACCCTATAAGGGATGCACCGATACCACTTTTTTAAGACCGAGTACCGATACTTTTGATCAAGTACTTGCAGATACCAATTACCAATACTTTTTCTTAAAAGGGACAGGTCACATTCTTTCCAAAGCAATACAAACTAATGCTTTAAGGTCACTTTCTTAATATTATCATTCATGAGATGACGAGGGAGCCTGACGCCGGCTTCCCGGCCAATCAGAATGCCGGGCGCTGCGTCATTACATGCTACCCAGCTTCCTGATTGGCCGGGAAGTCTGCTCCATGCTCTCTCATCACAAGTGACGAGAGAGCATGGAGCCGTTTCCTGGCCAATCAGGAAACTGGGCAGCGTGTAATGATGCGCTGCCCGGCTTTCTGATACAGGAAGCACTCGTGCTAGGTATCGGAGCATTTGGGCGAGTACGAGTACTCACCCAAATACTCTGTATCGGCACCGATACTAGTATCGGTGCATCCCTACACCCTATCAAGTAGAATGGAGTCCGGGGGCCGCGTCGGGGAGCAGAAGACCGTGGAACGGAGATCTGCAGGGTTGGTTGCCTCCGGATAAGCCCCGTATTCTCACGTTCTGGCGCCGGTTGCGGTCCTCGAGATCTTCCATGCGTAGTTGGAGGGCCACAATAAGCGGCAATGCCTCCGGTTGAGTGTTCCAGGGCCCGAACCCTGGCTTCTAGGGCCGTACATGTGGTGGACACTGCGGTCACCTCCGTGGAGGTGCGTGTTGGAGCGGTGCTCACTAGGTGTTGGAGATAGGGAACGGATATTGCCTCGTGGCGTGCGCGGTAGACGGGGCTCAGACGTCATGTTGGACTGATCCCAGCCGCGGGGCCTGTTTCGCGTTGAGGTAAAAAACTGTCGCAGAGAGGGGGTTCCCCGCTGCGAAGCTGGCGTGCCCTCCTTCTTGCATTTGGACATCGTTTGTGACTCGAGTTGGGGTGGTACAAGTTGGTATAGGTAGTGTTTAGTTGGCAAACCCCACGGAGCTCTCTGAGTTTGCTGCTTACTCTGCCTTGAGCAGGACACACCCCCCTGCTGTGTGGTTCCTAAACATTTGGTTCATGGTCCTGGCTTTGGCTTCTTGTCTTTGCCTCGAGTATTTACCAAAGGGTTAGCCCTACTATTAGCCTTTCTTCACTCTCATGGCACCCCTATTGAGGGATACTTGGATGACCTCCTGTTGAGGGAAGTCAAACAACGTGACCTTGACTGTTCAGCATTTGCAGTGGTTCCGGTGGATCCTGAACCTTCAGAAATCATTGCTTGAAATTACTCATCATTTGGAGGACCTGAGTCTAGTTCTGGACACAGCTCAATCCGAGTGTTTCTTCCACAGCATGTCTCTGCAGCATTTGACGACCCTGCTGGAAGGTCAGCCAATCCTTATTCGGTCAGACAATGCAATGGTATTCAGGGAGGAGCCACAAGTCTCACTGTAGTGAAAGCACCTGGAATTAAGAGGGTGTTCCCTACTCCCAGAGGTGCTCCAGGTCTTTTTTTTCACAGGTGGGGGACAGGGAATGTGGACCTTTTGGCATCCAGGTTTAACAATAAACTGGACAGGTTACAGATATTCTTGTTCAGAGTAGAGACAGGACCGGGAGGCTTCTAAAACTAGCAAATCACTCTAATTGGCTCTAACAGTGATCACATGATTGGGAGCCATTACTCCTATCTGTTTTTCAATCGTTAATACTAGACCAGGAGCTGTCGGTGACAACTCAATCTCAGTGCTGGGTGCTCATGCTTCATATATACAGTATGCCGCTATGGGGAAAACAAAAGCCCACTTCAGTGATGCCACATATATGTGTTAAAGAGGTTTGTGGTCATAAAACCACCTATCCATTACATATAATGCAGTCTGAGTCACCAATAAAGGATCATGCTGCAGACAGGCTTGATTTCCTGGTCCATGGACTGTAACACTTAACCTTGCCATACACCATGAGATGCAGCTGTGTAATATAAGCATTTTACCTTTAATGAAATACTGCTTACATAAAAACAATAAGGCTTTCTACAGACTGGTCTGGTGCAGTGCCTTAACACAGCCAATTCATTTGACTAGGCTGCCACTGCACCACACTGGCAAAAACACAAAACAAAACACACCTACACAATTTTCCCAACACAGCAAACCACAACTTGTGTTGTAGTTCCATTCAAAATTAATGGCATTACCACGGTATGTGCATTGTTAAGAAATCATTAAAGGTCTCAAACAGCACCTGAATATGTCTATTTTTTTTAAAATGTATATAATGTTACGTTTCCTTGCACAGCACATACGTATTCCAATGTCTACAAATCACATCTATAACGCATATCTTTTTCTGGGGGAAAAAATCCACACGTGTTGGATGATCCAAGCTCTTCATATCCTCATGGCCAAGTTGGCCGTATCGTCCTGTGAATTGAAAAATAAATCGTTATATACACAGAACTTGAAAGCAAGCATTGTTATGCATTAAAATCTCTGACTGCCGTACAAGTCTAATCGTATTTGTCTTAAAGAGATTCTGCCATCTCACCAAAATCAAGCAATGAAGCATTGGAAGTGCCATGTCTGCAATCTAGCTGAAAGAATTTCTGATGCTGATTTACTAAATGGCAATAAATTATTTTCTTAAAATCGTACAATACAGGACACAGGATCAGAGTCTTAGACCATGGGTTATGCGTAGGTGTTTGGACACCGGCAATCAAAGCTCTAAAAGGACAGCTTTAATATAACCCCCTCCACTCCCAGCAAGTCTCAGTTTGTTGCTAGTGTCCTTAGGTGAATGAATGTATTCTACTTTCCCTTTTAAGTATTCAAATTTCATCCAGACTCTGCCATTAAGATTTTCTAGCTGCTACATAGCCACTGTGGCTCCTATTTCTGCAGCTATTGTCCCTATGCAGGCTCATGTCTCTCTGCTCCCATGTTTGGGCCCTAAAAGGTCCAGGAGCCACCCCACCATTCGCTTCTGCAGGGAGATCAGGAAGCAAGTGAGCGACGATATGTTTCGCTCACTTCCCGATCAATAGAGCTGTCACACATCGGCTCTAACTATGAGGATGAGTGTAAATCACCAGAGTGCTTAAAGTGGTGCTACGGCCGAATTAAAAAAAAGATATATATATATATATGAATAATGCAGTCTGCCACCAGCATTAACACATCAGTTTTAATGCTGGTTTTAAAGTGGAAAACAGGATCTACAGGTAATAAAGCTACATTTTGTTTTCCTCTATATTCTACATTTTTATTGTAATGTAGTCAGCTCAGCATGTATTTATTTCTATTGGAGAATATGGGATAAGCATAGTACTTACCCCACCCCCAGGTGTACAATTCACCAGAACCTGTAAAATAATAGTGAAGACAAAATACATGAACTGCAGCTGTCATAGTAACTCATCTGTAGCCTTTCTTTCATCTGTAAGGGGTTTTGTTTCTATAGACCAGGGGTCAGCAACCTTTTACACACCAAGTGCCATTTTTGAAACCATCGGAAAACCGGGCAAGGCTGGCACAAGAGGGATCCTTCAGGCAGGAGCATGTGCAGAACGAGCTGAGGGCCCCGTCAGCGCGCCTCTGCGTTCCTATGCCGCTCAGGCACGTCACTGAGGTGGGTGGGCCAGTAAATGTAATTGACAGCCGGCTCGAGGGAGCTGTCAACTACAAGCAAACAGGTCGACTCGCGTGCCAGCTGTCAAGGTCTCACGTGCCAGGCTGGGCACGCGTTCCGGGGGTTGCCGACCCCTGCTATAGACAATTGCTCTACTTTTGTTCTAGCTTTTTTAAATCAACCCCCATGTATCTTATTTGTGTATCACTCGGCTGTAGATCCTCAAATCATCTCTGAATTGGTGCTGACACTGTCCTTCCTTCTGGGGGGTGGATACTTTTGTTCCCCATGGTCCCTGCGTGTGTTGTAAAGTAGTCACCGCTCCAAGCTCACTCCTTTTGATTGCCGTGCTTTAACTCCTGAGTTTATTGTCACTTTAAAGTAGCTTTATTTGAGGAATTTGTACAAGCCATATATGATAACTTCTGTCAAATGGACAGCAAGGTAACAGTATTTTCTCTAAAATACTTTCCTCTAGGGATGCACCGAAATTACATTTTTAGACCGAAACCGAAAAAAATATTTATTTTCAAATCTTTACATTATTTTATTTTAATAAAAAAATTTTCTTTACTGTCATCAGGGGTCAGATGAAGCACTTCTCTTTTCTGCGGATGAGTGCGCATACAAAATAGTATGCACACTCGGGGGGTGGAGGAGGGAGGACAGGGGGGCTTCATGGTTTCTTGCACCGGGGCCCTGAGGTTTCTAGTTACGCCTCTGAATACTACACTGGGGCATCATTTTTATAACTATTTTGTATGTAGATACTAATAAACCAGATCTCCTCTATTGAATCACATCATCTACAAGTTTAAAGCGCTCTCATTTAAAGGCTGTAGTCTGATAATGTAACAAAATCCATTTACATGAACTCTGCCTATGTGAGAAGTATACTAGAAAATACTGTAAGTACTCACATGTTACTGCAGCCGTGTGACGTGACCCACAGCTTATCTTTGAAGCTTCCGATTCCTGAGGGAGGTCAATCAAAGCTGGGAAGGACTGGACTGCAATGTACTCACTGTCTTCATCATCACCCTCTGCACTTGCATCCTGTATGATCATTCCTGAGCAGAAAAGCAGCACTGCAGTCTGTAATGTCATATACCAGTAACAAGCTATTAAGGAAATACACTGCCAATGAACTTACTCTCTTGTGCTAATGTCCTTGATGGAAGTCCAAGCTGCCCAGATTCATTCCATCCCCAGCAATAAACATCTCCACCTTCTGGATGGAAGAATAATTTAAGGGTGGTTACTCAAAATTCAGTGTATGCAAAGCCCACCAAAGAACAAGGTTTTATTCATGGATGTATGTAAGCTACAGAGTTATACTAGTCACAGGCTCACTGTGTTTCTTAGGGTTTGCCGGGGTCTTTGAGCTGAAAACTGGGGGTTAGAATCACAGTTCTGATTCTTAGGGGGTTGCTTGAGGATGCATATCACTTTATTCTATACAAAGCACAGTTAAAATGCCTCATACAGGGTGAGCAACCAAACCTGGAGTGCAACCAAACCTCATCCCAAATACGGGCAGAAGTATAAATGAGGCTTCCCAAGTTATACCCCCCTCAGCAAACTGTATTGTTGTAAACAAGCCCTCAGCAAAATCTTTTCATGACAGCAAGCTAATATGGAGTCCAGAGGTAGGATGGCACCATGGAAATTTCTGGCTTTAGCTACCTGACACAGCTATTGTAAAAGAAGAAAGGCCATCGTACTGCATTCCCCATACAAGGTGAAAGTGAGGCTATTGTACAATGGAAGGAGAAGGTTCCTGGAGCAGAGAACTCAGGTGGGGAGAACTCTCTGCCCAAATCCTCAAGAACTATAAGAAACCAAGGCTGATTCAACCTGCCAGCATCTACACAAACCTGAGATATATTGGATGGGTTTACTCTTCTACACCTTATTCAGTTCCTGTAACTCAGAGACTTGAATACACCCTTTGGCAATCTACAATGGAAATAATACCTCATAGCACCTACCACTGATACTGACTGAATGCCAACCTCCAGCTGCCACTTCTTTCATTGGTACCCCATGTAACGCTTCAACTACGCGAGGTTCCCATACATCTTCCACATCTCCGTGTCCCAGCTGCCCATGTCTAACAAATAAAAAGGAACAAAAGTAAAAAAAAAGGTTCATTCCCAATGGCAGGACTCGTTTACCAAAGGACTCAATTCCACTCTATGCTTACATTATAATTCAATTGGATTAGGATGGTTAAAAAAGACATTTCCCACACATTTGATTGGGCATTTAAAGTAAATACATAGTAGAATGAACAGTACTTTGTAAAATCAGCCCCAGTGTATCTCATTCATCTATATTTACACCGCTCTGGTCTTTTTTTTTTAAAAGAGTGGGTGAGAGAAGACAGATGGAGGGCAGCATAAGACTGCACAGAGAAAGGTTGTTCTGTATGAGGAGATGTTTCTATTATACATGGGGCTTGATAAAAACAAACACACTGCAGAGAAGCATCAGGGAGGAGCTGCACATAGCACAGGGGTGTTTAGATCCATTTTATTTTTACAAGTATGCACAGACAACATTTTTATTCTACATTCTATGTGTCTTCTGTCTACCACCTATTGATGGAGCACAAGGCCAAAGCCTGAGAATATCATACCTGCCGGCTCCCCAGGTCATTATGTTTCCGTCAGAGGTCAGCAGTACAACATGCTCATTCCCTAGAGCAATCCTCTGAGCCTGCACTGTGTGTGGGAGCTCCCTGAAGAATGGAGGCTGAAGCAATACGTATCCATTGCCCACCAAGGGAAAGACTACAAATATTACAAACAATGGAAAAACTTTATTACCACAGTGCACATTTTTAAACATTACAGCAACATCCTAACAAACAAATCTATGTATCAAAAACAGACTTCTCCTGGGAGGTATTTGGCTTTAAGACAGGTTCCTTTAAAAAGCCACTAAATCTGTAATACAAGTTGATGTATACTACAGAACAACGTACAATGCAACTTTAGCTCCCGACCAGTTCTACTTACAAAGGTGTCACTACATAAAAACATCTTCAATCGCATATCCTGGAGAGCTCTACTTTTCCTTCTACTTCCTTTCCTACAACTTCTCTTTCTCCTATGTCTATTCTTCTGGTTACTTTGTTGTCCTGGGAATGGATCATATAGAAGATGTTAGGGGCCGTCTCGCCAGGTGATCCTGATCTGGACACGACTGCTGTCGGCATTTTATATGCTGTTTTACGGGTTTTTATTTTGTGTTTGTATCCCGTTGCGCTATTTTGTAACCTTTCTAGGACCTGTATTTCCTCTTATTGGTACAGAACATGTTGTAATTTTGTAAACATCTAATAAAAACATTTTGAACGTAAAAATATCCTTAACCAATAGTGCATTCAAGAACTGCTAGAAGAGCCAAGCTCTCAGATGGCGGGTGATTGTAAAGTAACGATCCAAGCTGTAAAATATCTTGAGGGGAATTTATCAAAACTTGAGCAGACAAAATCTGGAGCAGCTGTGAATGGCAACCAATCAGCATCAACCTGTCATTTTCAAATCTTAACTAAACAAACTGAAAGAGAGTAGCTGATAGGTTGCAATAGGCAACTGCTCCAGATTTTGTCTGCTCCAGTTTTGATAAATCCCCCCCTTGCGTCTTACTTAGACAGGTACCCTTTTATTCTACCAGCATGAATCATACTATCACATTGACATCTGCACTGACGGTGGATGCAAAAATAGGACTTGGTCAAAACATTGCTACCTGTGCTTCGAATGGCTGGTTACCTTAGTATATGGAAACATTAATAACCGGGGAAACATTTGCCTTTACCCGATTTGTTTCCAGTTGACACTTCCATTTTCCACATGGGCTCTGGCAGGGTTCCATTTTGATCTATGCAGGCAGTGTTCCAGCACTCCACCCTGTCCTTCATTAGAACAATGATATATTTCTCTGATGGCAGGACATCCTGACAATCCAATCCATAGAAACGGAGACACTGCTGGGGAGATCCACCAACAAATCCGGACAGAAGCAAACAGCCATCCTCTGTAAAATAAAGCCAGGAGCAGCAAATCACAGCAAGCATATCCGAATTAGTGTGAACACTCATATTCATGTCATGATGAGGGTAGAACCAGGAAGAAAAATGATTCTAAAAACTAACACGGTTGGAATCACTCGTGTCATTATGAGAAATCAAAAACTCAGGAGGAGAAAATCTGAAACATTTCTACTTTATTATGAAGAGAGTATTGATCCCTCCCTGTGTCTGTCATCACAAGAAGCTCTGTTTTTTTATGGATATCAAAACTCACTAAAGTGTCCATATTGTCCCAACAACCAGATTCAGACGGTCTTACTTAGACAGGTACACTTTTATTCTACCAGCATGAATCATACTATCACATTGACATCTGCACTGACGGTGGATGCAAAAATCCACCGTCCACAAAATCCACAAACCAGATTCAGACGGTCACCTTCCAAACGGAAAGCTGTAATCTTATTGATCGATTCTTATTTCCTCAGCTCCATCTAGTGGCCATAACGCAGCATTACATACTTTCAACCTGGAAAGAAAATATACGCTACTAAGAACTTTTGTTTTTGCCTCTATCTGCACAAAGCGAACATTCACAGAGATACGTCGGGTGACTGGCTCTGCGAATTACTTATAAATAGACTCCATAGTACATTAAATACAGCATGCGTTATGCCTTATTTCTCATGTCAGGGATATCCTGGCACCTTGGACTAGCAGCTGACAGTATTATTTTAGACTCAGGCCCAGTTCAGAGGTCATCAACCACCATGACAACTAGACTAAGGTCAGACAGAATAACCACAAAGGCAATTTGTGATTTACAACTTAGGCCTGATTCACACTGCTGTGCATATACGCGCTTACGTGCGTATTGTACCATATGCAACGTATGCAAATAAATGGCTCCATACACATAGCCGCGTATGGAGCCGTATATCTGCGTAGCGTATATATGCGCAAAAACATAATGGTACAGAGATGCGTCCGAGCAGCGTATTTCTGCGTGTTTACGCGCATATACATGCGTATAGCACATTAAAAATTCCAATATACAATTTTGCTTGCGTTGTGTGTGAATGAGGCCTTATTGTTAAGAAAGTTGCAACAGCAAGTGTTACACATCACATGAAATAAATCCAACAGCGTGAAGGAGTAAAATGCTAGAGCCCATTCACACCAGGGAGGTTGCGGATCAGCGAGGTTTTGGGAGTTTTTAATTGCGTTTCAGCGCTGAGACGCAATTATAAACGCCCAAAACCGAGCTGATCAGCACAGCAAAAATTGTGCAGGGAGCAGTTCAGGCGGCGGGCGGTTCGTGCTGAGCCGCGCAGTCGCATGAACAGTCCCCATAGCAATGTATGGGATCGTTCATGGCGGCTGAACCACCCCGGTGTGAACGAGGTCTTAAATGAAATCTATACTGAGAGAAAGATGGAACACCTGACCTCCTTCTGTTTGCCTGGCCTCTGGCTGCACTACTTTAACCCCTTGCCATCCTTCCATTCTATATAAAGGGACGGGCAGCTGGTTCTTCAATGCGGGTCGGCATACATGTATAGTGATTTTTTTTCCCTTCTCCCATGCGTGTTCCCTAGGGCACACGAGCAGGTCACTGTAAACACTTGTTACAGCCGGCGGTGGCTGCTACATACAAACGTTTGGGTGGATATAGAGCTGCCTGATCGATTGTGCATGGGAATGTGTGTCCCCCTTCCGCTGCCAGCTATCCTGGGCTCCGCCATCCCCTGTGCAGGCCCGGGACTGGTGCAGCGGGTCTGTGTACATTAAATGGACATCCACTGGCTGATCTCCCCTTCAATCCCTGAAAGTGGACTCGATGTGTATTACATCACTTCTCCGGCTGCTGTAGCCACAGCAGAAGCTGGTGAAGCAGATCTGTGCTTCATTAGCTTCTTTGGAGTCCCCAGGTGACATTAGGGGGTCTAATAAACCCATCAGGGGTTTATTAGACCCCTAATGTCACCTGGGGACTCCATAAAGAGGACCTGTCACTGTATCTGTGCTATCATATAGCCTCCTATGTGATAGAAATAAAGTTGTGCGTTATAAAAAAAGGTTAAAATATGAGTCACATTAAAAAAATAAAATAATTTAGAGTCCCCCACCCCCTCATACACACACACACACACACACACACACACACACACACGTGTCGGGTGCACCTACATGCTAAAACGACAATTGCGCTACGCGTTCCATATCACTGCGAATGTCGGTGTACGAGTAATAATTCTAGGGCCATCAATCACTGTTAACACTAAATTGATGAGCGGTAAAAGCTTTTAAAATGTCGCCTATGGCCAATTTTGGTTATGGTAGTTTTTTTGCGATTTCAAGGGCGCATAGATCAGCACAGCCCCAATGCAATGATGCAAAACTATTGTTTCCTATGTGCCTGTTCACACTATACAGGAGCGTTGCATCAAATTGCAGCCATTTTGCATCAATGCGATGGGCCAACCCAAATACAAGACAAAGGTACAATTTTGACCCATGATGTGGTCTGCACAAAAAAAATGCTTTTAAAAATCAGTGCAATGCCCAGTAACATGCGTTAATTACCACATACGTTTTTGTGCGTTTTGTTGGGGATGCGCCTGGCCTGGAACCAGCAAAGTGAGAAGCAATCAGAATTGTCAGCACTGGCAGGCTCTGCGTTCCTCTCATTTACAGGATTTTACGTGTAAAAGCAGAAAACCTGACAGTCAGCATAGACAATGTATACAGCTATATCGACCCCGGTATACAGTCGGCTTGTACTTCGCCAAGGCTTATGTTTGCCGCCTAATGCAGAACACCAGCCAATACCCCCATGCGGCCCTCACCAGGACGATATGAGATACGGCCACTAGGTGTCGCACCTGTCACAAAAGCCGAGTAACTCCAGGAGGGAGCCGCTCTGATAATCGGCTTCTTCTCGGTGTCTGAACCCGAAAATTGAACCGGTGTAGGCACGGGTAAAGTGTGTTCCTCTCCCTCTCCGAGCTGTCCAAACCCTCTGAACCCGAAACCGAACCAGAACATGGAAAGCAGCTCCGATCCCACCACCGCGAACTCCACTATTTCTCAGAGGAGCAACTCTAAGCTTTGTGTCATGTGCATGTGCGCATGCGCGAAATGAACCTGCAAGCGCTCCCCCTGCCGAGTATAGAGAAAACTACAGTCAGAGACTAATGGTGACCTTGCTGGTGTGTGGGTACCTAGGGCTCACCATACACTTTATAATTTGACCGTACAATCAGATTGTATCGTGCATGGTCAGGTTTAAGCTCACCACACACATTACAATCTGTACAATCAACTTCAGATATACAAAATCTATTTAATAGGAGTGCCCACCTTATCTATCCAATCCATCGGTAACCAATTAGGCAGGCCCTTGCACTACATACTTGTTGGTAGATCCAAAGGAGATTGTACAGATTGTAACGTGTGTGGTGAGTTTAAAGCTGACCATGCACTATACAATCTGAATGTGCAAGTTCCTTTAGATGTATAATACAAAACACAAAAATGTACCTGGAGGTAGCCAACTCCTCCTTATAAGGTGCAGGGGCGCACTGGAGGCCCAGCAACCAAAAATGTACGCTGGGACTCCAGTGCGTCCCCCAAACCAAAAATAGTATCCTTTAGATGTACCCAGTGGCGTCACAAGGTAGGTACGGCGCGCACTGGTCTGCACAATCTGCCACACGAGCACCGCGGGAGGATAGGGCGCCGGCGCACGAGAGGAGACCCAGGAAGCTGCTGCAGTGGAGATAAAAGACAGACAGGAGAGAGAGAGTGAGAGAAGAGACAGCAGAGGGAGAGAGAAGAGAGACAGCAGAGAGGGAGAAGAGAGACAGCAGAGAGGGAGAAGAGAGACAGCGGAGAGAGAGAAGAGACAGCAGAGAGAGAGAAGAGAGACAGCAGAGAGAGAGAAGAGAGACAGCAGAGAGAGAGAAGAGAGACAGCAGAGAGAGAGAGAAGAGACAGCAGAGGGAGAGAGAGAAAAGACAGCAGAGAGAATAGAAGAGAGAGACAGCAGAGAGAGAGAGGAGACAGCAGAGAGAGAGAAGAGACAGCAGAGAGAGAGGAGACACAGCAGAGAGAAGAGACAGCAGAGGGAGAGAGAGAAAAGACAGCAGAGAGAATAGAAGAGAGAGACAGCAGAGAGACAGCAGAGAGAGAGGAGACACAGCAGAGAGAGAGAGAGAGAAGAGACAGCAGAGGGAGAGAGAGAAAAGACAGCAGAGAGAATAGAAGAGAGAGACAGCAGAGAGAGAGAGGAGACAGCAGAGAGAGAGAGAGAGAAAAGACAGCAGAGAAAGTGAGAGAAGAGACAGCAGAGAGGAGAGACAACAGAGAACGTGAGAGAAGAGACAGCAAATAGAAACAGGGGAGAGAGAAGAGACAGCCAAGAGAGAGGGTCGGTTCACACCACAAAGTCTGCGTCCAGAGTGTTCGGCCTCTAGACGCACCGGAACGCAAGCTGGCCGGATCCCTGCTGCATTTTTGCAGGTCCTACTGGACCTGCGATCTGGGTGCAGGCGATCGCCGATCGGTATGTGTTACACGTCCTTATAAAGAAGGCAATCGTATTGCAAAAGTATTTCATATAACCTGGTAATAAAGATGTGTATTATAGAGGTGGTCTGGGGTTCCCTTTATCATCCGTTACCTTATTGGGTGGACCCCCCCTCATTATTCGGTACCAGGGGTGTATCTGGTAAAAGATTTGCACACCTGAGAGATCTGTTTTTAGCTGAATTTTGTCTTTTAGGGGTCCTTTAAAAGCCTAGTAGTACATGATACAGTTTAAGGTTCTGTGTCTACAGGCTTTGGGCTTGTGTCAATCAGTTTAAAGGCTGTTTCATGTTACATCCATATTTAAGGTGTAATATGAAATATGGTTACATCGCAAACCCCACACGTATCTGAATCGCTGTGTTCTTCTCCCTGGAGGATGCTGTATACCTTTTAAATTCGGCACGGCTGCACGTGGCTCCACCCACAAAGCTGTATCATCCATTCAGAAGAGAAACTACAAGTCCCATCAGTCACCACAGCAGTGGGACTTGTAGTTCTCAATGGCATACAAGTGAGAGACGTCACCTCACTTGTAGTCTATTGACACTTCTTGCTCCCGTCCATGTTACTGGACGTGGGTACCTTGGTATGGACATGGGTGGGAATAACAGCCTGTAAGAGCCAGAGCATTGCACACACAATCTACTGATCATGGTTGCAATGCTTTACTGACTCCAATGCAAACAAAATAATAATAATAATGCACATTTGTTTTAGGAAGTGTGCATTTATTATTATTATGCAAAAGTTAAAAAGTTCAGTTTGAGATGCTTCTGAGACCATTCACAATTCATTGGCAGGTGCATTTGACCTCCTTTTGACTTGCTTGAAGAGGGTTTGCAATCTCTCCGCCTTTGGGTCGCCAGCATTCCGGCAACATGGGACAACCGTCTCACTTCCAACATCAATTATTCCAATATGATATTGGTCCTATTTACCACGTTTCCTGATCCCAGAACAGCAGCATTTCTTTATATATTACAGGTATTTACACAGCACATGCACATCAGTCCCCCAGGAGCTTACAATCTAAGGCCCCTATCTCACATGCATACATAGAAGCATTCATTTATACAAGAGCCAAATAACCTTCCAGCATGTCTATGGAGTGTGAGAGGAAAGCACAGGGAAAAATAATTTGTCAGTCAAGGAGTCTTAATATAAAAGTGTCACTATGAAGAAATACCTGAATGTGTCACACGTGTCAGTAATATCATTTGAACCATCGCAGTGCTTTTCTGAATTTGAGGCAGGACATTCTTGGCATTCTTCCAGAAAAGTGCCACAACGGCTATACTGAATCACCCCCCGATGTGTTGTACTGCATGAGAACGGGTGAACGAGCCTTTCATCAAATCATTTTACTCCACACTGCATTGGTATGAATAAAACTCGTATGTTTATTGATTCTTTTATTTTTAAAACATTGATAAATTATTTCCATGGTGCTAATCTTTGTGAAAACAATGGAACGACAATCAGCAATACAAAGATATGTGAATTGTGATACAAAGACAAAGGAATGTACATAAAGAAGAAAATATACCCAGATACAACACGTCTCATCTGACACCCGTCATCTCATTAGGTTCAGACAACATGTAGATGGTCAGAAAGGAATGAAAAGCTGCAGCTGAAAACCTCGGGTGACATTTATACAGATGGCAGTCTAATGATTCCTGTGCTGCCTCGGGTTTTAAGGCGGCAATATTATACAGTGTCTCACCTCACCCCAATGTAACTGGTGATCCCATTTTATTACAGAAGGATAGAACCATGTACAGACAATCTGTAGAATGACTAAAAACAAAGCAATAAGAACCGTGATCATTACCTATCTGACCCATTGTACTGTATGTCTGTGCCTATCCCACTCAGATAAGCTTGCATAGCAATGTGCCTTCATTAGCAGCACTGTCTCCCTCTTCAGTAATATCAGTGCTCAGCAGACTGTCAGTACAGTTCCACTGCCAGACACCCACCTTAAAAGGAGTACTATGGGGTCAGGGCTTTTCCCCATAGTTCTCCGAAGGGTAATGGGAGGACACAAACTAGCGTCCTCTCATTACCCAAAGCTCGGTATACCGCGAGCTACAGCTCACGGTATAGTGAGATGCCTCAGCTGAAACGGATCCCGGCAATTATGTCTGGATCCGCCCAGCTGCGTGAGTGACAGCTGGCTCTGCCTATCTAGAGGCAGAGCCAGCTGTACCCACCCCCTCCCACATCCGTTCCGCTAGTCAGCGCTGGAGGATCGGAAAGGGGAGGGGAGAATCCAGCCCCTCCCCTGTCACGGCTCTCTGCAGTGACAGGATCGAGAAGTGAGCGAACGCCGGTATGTGTTCGCTCACTTCCCGATCTACTGAGCCGACCTGTGACAGTTCCATTGTCACAGGTCGGCTCAGATTATGAGGCTGAGTGAAACGCACTCACCTCATAATTCCCCTTTAAGGCACATAATATGTGGACAATATATTGTATATATAAAAAAGAGGAAATAAACCATCAGCATTTTACTAGAGTATATAAAATGATGTAAAAGTGCATGTTTTATACTATACTGATGGTCTCCCAATACATTTAATCATCATCTGACTCAGACGCCTTAGGAAATGTCATAGTTTTGATGAAAATAAGTGTTGCAATCCAGTATGAAGTTACTACTACAGATATTATCAATTCTTAAAACAGTGTTGTTGCAGCATTTTAATTCCCTCCCCCTTCAGCAGACACTGATATTTCCTCTCATTATAAGCCCATTGCATTCAGGGGCCTGTTGGTGCGCACAGCATTTGTAGATGACTTCAAGGACAGAACTTACACTCAAGGTCCTGCAGGAGGGGTAAAGTAGTGGCCCATGAATTCAGAATATATTTCGTGGCCATTTCTTCTACTCTTAAGCTGGCCACACACCTATAGATTATCTGCAGATTTTCTATGGTCAGATGGAAAAAGTGCAACAGATTCCCCCATCTACGCTAAACTGTGTGGATGGAGGAATCTCCCACTGGGCCAAGCTTCAGTATCTTGCTAGTCGGCCCCACTGGCTCTCAAAACACCTGAACAGTGCCTGCAGCCAATCAGATTGTTCAGGTATTTTGAGAGCCTGCGGGCTGACTTGCAAGATACTGAAGCTTGGCCCAGTGGGAGATTCCTCCATCCACACAGTTTAGCGTAGATGGAGGAATCTTGTACTTTTTCCATCTGACCATAGAAGATCTACAGATAATCTATAAGTGTATGGCCAGCTTTAGAACTGGTCGTTGTGCAGACTACCCTTGGCAATTTTACATGTCCTTGTAGCTTTCTCAGTTTAATGTTTCTGGTATTTCTAGAACTATGGGGCTTCTGAACCTGGAAAATCAGGTTTCCCATACCAACAACATAGGAAGATCCAACGTATTCTGAGCCTAGAACAAGGACATGTGCACCTGTGCTGAGACTACAGACATGAAATGTGTACAAATTCTTAACAAGCAGGAAAAGAGCTTTCAACAAGCCAGTCCTGTCTAGCTGCAGGTAGTGTGAAGTCATTCATTCTCAGAGAACAGAACAAATACTGTAAAGTCGGGTTTCAGATGGTTTCTAACAACCTGTTGTGTGTTTAGAGAGCTGGCGGGCTGCGAACATTCTGCTTTCATAGAAAGTAAAGGGGATAGAAGTTTCAGCGATTTCAGGGCCTCGGATATAAATGTAAAGATACATTTCTTCTCAAAGCCTATAGCTGGAGAAAATCTGGTGCAGTTGCCTATGGCAACCAGCTTCTTTCTTCAGTCTGTTCAGTTAGGATTTGAAAATGAAAGGTGGATGCTGATTGGTTACCATGCACAGCTGCTCCAGATTTTTATAAATTCCCCTCAATGTCCGCCTGGTAGAACTTGAAAATCTGGCAAACAGATACTTGATGCAGAAAAGCCCAAGAGAACTCAGAGATTGAGTAGAGTGTGTCTTGACAGGAAAGAGTGGATTCCAATTCTTGACACTATAAGCTTATCTATCTTATGAGGTCTATCTGAGCCACCTAGAGATCATACAACAAGAAGCCAGTATATCCTTATGGGGATCATCCGTCTTTCTGAAAGAAGTAGTGGCTGAGACATTCTCACAGGCCAAACCCCATCCAGACAATGGAGGCAAATGTAATTTTGGTGAAGCAGGTGTTGGATTAGGACACAACATTAGAAGCTGTGTAGAATTGGAATAGTGGTTGAAGGTTGCTTTTATATGGTTTCATATATATTACATAAAAGGAATGTTATCACCTAAATAAGACTTTGTCTTGGTACCTAAAAAGTCTGCTCTCTCACTTGTTACTTTGTCATGAGTATGAATGTGGTACACTATATACCAATCCACACCTCTGTATCTAAAGACAAACTTGTCCAGTTTGTTGTTGGACCACGAGGTCCACATTTGGCATCTGCCACATGCGACACAGGTCCTGGGATGTAGATACCATTTGCCTGGGTTCAGACACTGTTGGGTGAGGAATTCTGTCTGTGAAGGGTCTACACCTGGAATGTACATGGCAGATAAGGCTGGAATGTGATGTTCTGCCCAGGACACGATACTTTCTACCTCTCTTGAAATGGTGAGACTTCTGGTTGCTTCCTTATTGTTAAAGAAGTATTGCCTAAGGATTTAGCAGGCTTTGAGCACCAGACCTTGCAGGTGGACTGGGAGTGGAGCTTGCAGGGTCTCCACGAGGAGGATTGGAGAAAGGAAAGGAACATTGTTAACACATATAAAAAGAGGGAGAAAACTTTGCAGTCTGTTCATTAGACTTCTTTAACTGAAGAAGATGGATGCTCTCGTCACCAGTTGTCATTAGTAATGGTATGAAGAGCAGAACGAAAGAGATGTCATCCCTCAAAGGTCATGCGGACCAACTGCTTCTTAGATGCAGATTCCGCCGTCCAGCACTTTAACAAAAGTGTCCTATACATGTGTGCTGACATGAAACCTATGCAGGAGATAAACCGGAAGCCTCCAACAAACCGTCACAACTACAGATCAAAGCTATAGCCATTTGCTCCACATGTTCTATAAGTGAAGGATCAACCGTAGCAATGGGAAGATCCCTTTTATGGGGTTTTAGCCACTCAACCATAGTCTGACAGAGTAAAGTCACAGCCAAAATGGGGTGATGAGCAGGACCTGCCAGCAAGAGCAGTGTTCTAGATATGAGTAGAAGGCTAACAAGCGTTTCGGGGGTAGCAAACAGTTTGCCAGGGTGTGTCCAATCTGTGTAGAGAAAGAGTTTGGAGAGCAGGTGCAATGGGAAGGTCTTTGCAGCCTTAGGGGGTCTAATGGCAGACCCAGACTCTGCAGGGAAAGGCGTGAGTGCATGCTTGCGGCCTGTGCAGAGAGGCAAAAACTGGGTGATTTGGGCCATAAAGTCTTGCATGCCTGTAGTGTAAACCCTGATGTTGTAGGTTGGGGAAGAGCACAGAGCATGTGCGGCACGTCACCCAGCAGATGACATTAGCCCCTTCTGCAGTGAAAACCAAGTGATCAATGTAAATGAGGTAGTTCCCAGTGCTAGACCTCACTAGCCTACTCCCTCAGAAACAAGGCCAGCATTGAGGCAATTCCAGTGGCTCCTGAAAAACGCTCCATGGCTAACTTGTTACCAGAACAGAGCCTTGAATGTGCCCTACGTGGAACCCCGTGCCCAAAGGTCTCTTCCAGGCTATCCCTGCTATGTCCAGTCCAGTCTGGATGTGCACTGCAATAGCCAGACTGAGGACAGAGGTGCTGAATAGCAGCAATTGAAGAGATTCGTTCTGGCAGCTATGTAGAGAAGAGTCTTCATTGAAGAAACAATTTTAAAGAATAATAATTAAAAAAAATACAAAAGTGTGTGTGTGTTGGGGGGCGGGGATGTGAGCCCTTTCCTGCAACCAAAGCACAGTTATTTGTTTCTGAAGCACATACAAGTTATTTATATATGCGGATCATAAGACAGCCTGTTATGCACACACTTTGATGAATCACTCTGTGCCTTCAGGAGTATAAGCACTCCTTATGTGCCACAAATTGCAGCTATTATATTATAGGGATGCACATATTACCATCAATTCCAAGGAGGAATCTGGGGCAATATCAAAAGGTTACATATTAAAATAAGACTTTGGAAAGGTCATGCTAGGGTTTTTCATCCATCCATCCGTCAGTATATTGTTCTAATGCCGTTAATGGCCATTTAAATCAAGATAAAGGAATCCTAACTTTAGAAGTGAAGCTGGCCATACATTTTTAGTATTCTCTCATTCAGCTCCAGGGCTGAACGAGAAAAAACAGCTTGATTCCCCCATCCACACATAACAGTCTCCCTCTGCCAGTTATTGTATTCAAGCAGCCACAGGGGAGCAGATGCTGGAATACCTGAACAGGGGCAGCAGTCACTGTTCAGCCGACAATTTTCTGCCTTCTATTTTTAATTGAAGATGATTGAGCCGAGTGGGGCCAGCTGGGCCACCCATGGCTAAAGCATCGGCCGAAATCAGCTGAAATTCGAGGCATGTATGGCCAGCTTTAATATACATTCATCAACTTTACATATGAGCAATAAATATGAATGTGGAATGGCGTACTGTTCTTATGTAAAACCTCACACTGCAAATTAGGAATGAGTGGCTTAGAACATACCCATCCGCAGGTGCTGCTTGTACATCTAGTGTGGATAAGCACCGGCTACTGGGTTGGCTACCCCTGGCTGTTAGGCAATCACCCTGAACAGCTGGGGTTACTACAGTGCAGACAATTGATAACTGGATATTTGGTCAGTCTCTATCATGTATCAAACAGGATTCAATCTAGATTCAGCCCTGATGATGGGGCTGGCTTTGGTCCATCTTTACAGGCACCTTTGTTACCATCTTATGACTCTGCCAATGGGAGTATCACACAGAACGTACCATGCACGGTCCCCAATCCTTAGTCAGACTGTGCAGACACATTGGGCATAATTAATCCATACTCTACAGCTGTGGTCAGACTCTTTTGTGCCACTTGTGCTACCGATCTTTTCTTTTCATCTTCTTCATTCTTTGCAAGAACAGTCAGGATCTCAAATGTCTCACTTTCCATCAGTTTCTGTGCCAGCTCCTTGTCTGCAGTGATCATGTTCAGGACGATGACAGCACCTCGATGCTGCAGCTCTATGTTCTCACTGAGAAGCAGAGACTGCAAAATCTCCAGCCAGTGAGCAGTCTGCAAAGATAAATTCAATAACTCTATGACATGCTAGAGTGTAGCATATACAGAATATACACTGATCAGCCATAATGTGTGCAGCTAGTGATATCAGTGATACTGTCAGTTTAAACACGCGCATTTATAAAATACCATCAAAGTTAAAGTGACACTAAACTGAGGAGTTAAACTTTAAAAATGCATTCAAGTCCCTTAAATATTAACAAAAATGTATCTTATTTGTGTATCACTCAGCTGTAGATCCTCAAATCATCTCTGAATTCATGCTGACACTGTCCTTCCTTCTGGAGGGGGGCTACTGTTGTTCCCTATGGTCCCTGTGTGTTTTGTAAAGTACCGTATTTTGCGGTCTATAAGACGCTCCAGACGATAGGACGCAGTGATTCTGTGACAGGGATTCTGTGACAGAAGCTGCAGTTAGTGACCGCTGAGACAGGTGGCGCTGTGATTACAGCGCCACGGCCTCAGTAATCACACAGAGCAGACGAAGAACGACGTTCTTCGCCTGCTCAAGGGGCTCTATGGTGAGCTCCTATGGGGGACCCGTCACGGTTCCCCAGAGGAGCGGGGGCCCCCAAAAATCATGGCGGGGGGCAGATACGATCGCCACCTCTCGATTTCATACAAGGGATCTAACTAGATCCCTTGTATTAAACGAGCAGCGGCTCCCACTGTACATTCAGCTCTGCTTGTCAGGAGCAAGGCTGAATGTACAAAAGGAAACTACTCGCCCCGCGCCCGAAACTGCATCTCCATAAGACGCAGACACATTTTCCCCCTCCTTTTGGGGGAAAAAAAGTGAGTCTTATTTTTTTTTAAAGATGCTTTTTATTTAAATTTTTAAAGTGTCTGAGACACAACAATAATAACAAACGGCCAGCAAACAAACGTCAATCGGGTCAACATAACCCAGATAATTACACAACAGTTACACACTCTTCGTTGATCATATGATTACACGGTTACACAAGCTTTTTGATGCAATATTCAATACATGGTATTTACCTTCCAACATAGGTATTATACAACATGGGGAATCGAACACAGCCACATGCAGTCAACAGGGCAGGAAATACCACCATGGGCTGATAGGTCCAGGGTTGGGGGTCTTAAGGCTAAAGAAATTTAGTACTACCCCACCCCCACAGTTGTGTTTGAGGAGGACAGCCACGGGTCCCAGATGCGGCCAAAACGTGTCGGGTTACCTCTCTGCTCGTACGTGAGTTTGTAAATGGGGAGTGCTTGATCTACCAGTCTTTTCCACTCGCTCAGGGAGGGAGCCGTCTGGCTACCCCAGACCAGGAGAATGGTCTTCCTGGCAAAAGTGCGTCTTATGGAGCGGAAAAATACGGTAGCCACCACTCCAAGCTCACTCCGGTGATGGACTACAATCTCATGTTTAAGTTACTAATTTGTATTGAAATTATAATCCATCCCGGGAGTGAGCTTGGAGCGGTGGCTACTTTACAACACACACAGGGACCATGGGGAACAAAAGTAGCCACCCTCCAGAAGGAAGGACAGTGTCAGCACCAATTCAGAGATGATTTGAGGATCTACAGCCCAGTGATACACAAATAAGATACATTTTTGTTAATAGTTATGGAACTTGAATGCATTTTTAAGCTTTAACTCCTGAGTTTAGAGTCACTTTATTTTGTAATTTAATTTTCTGCTTGAAATGCATTTTGATGTGACACATCTGAACTGTCCACTGGGTCAGTATTACTACTTGTAACAATATAAAAATCAGCAGTTAGTTTTTCCAAAAGAGAAATAGAAATATATGTTCTCTTACCACTTGTGGAATGTTTTGACAAATCTTGGGCTGCAGGGAAGTCAGCATAGCAACAGTCCCGGCAGCTGCACGACGTAGTCGCTGGTCATCCTCTCCACTGTATAAGACGACTAGTTTCAGGCGATCGGATCCCTCTGCCATGAACAGGTCCTGAACCTGCAGTAGGAGAAGCAATCTTATGTCATCAGTACACAGTATATCGGTCTTCTCTTCTTTAAAAACTGACTGCTAGCAATCCCCTCTTTTCTACAGCTGTGGTAAAACCCACAAACTATCCTTCGCAATCAGTCAGATCCCTTCTTTGCTTTTGTAACCAGTGTTAAACGAAAAGATGGAATCCAGCTCACAGCCATGTGCAATACCAGAACTTTTGTTGTGTCAGCTTTGCATTATGTCTAATATTCTCAGTTAACCCGCTGAACACTGCTATGCCCCCATACCCAACTGTAGCAAACTATTTATATAAAAAACATTTGTTTCGTGGAGCTGAATAGCATAGGAAATAAATACCTATTGCCTATGCTCCACAGCTCCATCTAATGGCCACAATACATTCAACCTGCAAAGATGCTCCCCAGCTCCATCTAGTGGCAATAATGCAGTTTTACACTGCAATACATTCATCTCTGCAAAGGAAATATATTAGGAACATTTGTGTTGTTTTTGTTTTTATTCGCACAAAATGAACGTTCGCAGATATTCGTAGGGCAATTTAAAAAAAATAAATAGACCCCTAGGTGTTAACATATGAACACGCCCCTATAGTATGTCATATGAGATATAGATAAATACATGCTGGTTGAATCTGGCACATCATTTTATTTGTGTTACAATTTGGAAATAAACCGGCCCATTGGTTTATTACTAAATACATATTAGGCTTGCAAACAAATGCAAAGTGTATAGCTGTAAAAATTATTCCATAATAATTTAATTGGAAAATGTTACATTTGCCAGTGAGATACAAATCATGAATACTGTTAATTTCCAGGATAATAGTACAGAGTACAGTTTTGTTGTTTCTTTGTCTCATTGCTCAATAGGAAGTGTACATTTTAGCCTCACCTCTTCACACATGGCCATGTTGCACATACATTCAGTTGCAGCTGCTTTTATCAGTTCATGTTCTTCAAACATATAACCCTCAATCATGGGCACTGCCTTCTCCTTGATGATTTTACCTCTGCAAGACACAATATAAGGGTTTTAAAAAGTTCTACAGCATCTCATAAATGTATTGCCTCATCTGAAGTTTAACAATCTAATATTAAATCCAAGTTGTAGTTTGATCAATTTCTCACCTCACCCTCTCACTGATTCCTGCTAGGTTTGTTAATGCCATCAGTGCCTCAAAGTTCTGCAGGCCGGTCCTGTTTAGGTGAAGAAGGCTGACCAATGGCCGGACAACCTCATATATCTGTGAGGGCAGAGAAAAGAGGAGATTGCAAAATACAGGTGGTTAAATGCTTTGTTTTGTCACTAGAGAACCTGGTCTGTTCTATATGAATCAAAAACCGTCAGTTTAATAGCAAGCCCCTCTTAGATGGTTTCAATTACACCCTGTAATCTCATTCTCAGGATTGTAAAAGTCTTGCAGGGGCATCTGCTGGGAGAAGTGATCAGGAACGTGTCCTATATCAGTCCCTGTTGATGTCGGCATGCCCCCAAAGCTACTTTCCAAACGTCCTCTTCCTCCACACTGAGCAGGCAGGTTCTTGGAAATGAAGACGGCAACACAGTTTTGCTTCGCGAGAACTCAATGTACTGTATGTATGTTAAAAGGGACCAAAATGGCGGCGGTGGGGGGATAGAGTTCTAAGGTGCCTCTGAAGCATGGTGGCAGGGCACAGGATTTTCTACTCCTTTCTAAAGAAAACAAACTGGAAGGCTTTGCACATCTGTTGTTTTGCTATAAAATCCCCATGATAAATACTATTATTACTTATATTTATCAGTTATAAATAAGTCAAAGCAATAATACTGTAATGCCGAAAAAGTCATGTTTACAAAAACTGTGGAGTGAATTGCTGTTGCTTGTATACATAGAACCAATTAGTGGTGTCAAAAAGCTGTGCCAAAATGTTCACACCCATGTGGTTTAATGATTGCATACAGCAGTGGTCTTCCCATTCTCATGATCTCACCCTTTCACCCTGAAAGGCGATTTCAGGGTTTGATGTAATTGTTATCTTGGCCAGTGCTTGCGCTGCTTTGGTTTTCCCCGTCTCTGTTCCTTCTAATGCAAGTGGTAATAAAGCCTACAACAAAAAGGACATGCACATAAACTTTAATGTCATCTACTCAAGAAGATGAAACAACAGCATTTGAGTATATGAAGCACTGGTGACATACAAATGCAACATGGATTATCTGCTGCCCTTTACCCAATGTCCTACATTTCAGCAGCACTATCTTCTCACTACCTTATTTTCCATTTTCATTGGCCCTGGAAATAGCAATTGTGATACCTTCTAGATCAGGGGTAGCAAACCTCTGGCCCTCCAGCTGTGGTGGAACTAAAAATCCCATGAAGCATTGCAAGATTCCCACAGCCACGACTCTCGGAGAGATGCATCATGGGATTTGTAGTTTCACCACAGCTGGAGGGCCGGAGGTTTGCTAACCCTGTTCTAGATAGTCTTCTAAAATACAGTTTGATATACAACCCAGGTCTGAATAAACTTTTTTAAAAACTCAAAAAGTTAATAATAGATCTGTAACAAATAACTAATATGTTTTCCATTGCTCCATAAATTATGTGTTTATAACAAGTAACGGTCCACCCTACCAAACAACCGTCATATCACTGTTAAAAATATATTTTACTAGGATGTGCCCGCTGCAGTACCACCTTATAACACACATGTACCCAATACAGAGCTGCATTATGCGGAAGTGGTGTCCCCCAAGCACTTTTCACAGCCTTAAAAAAGTCATATTGGATGCGCTTTGTAGAAGTATAAGAAAAAAAACTTGTCGCACTCCTTACCGGGACTCCCCCCAAAAAAAGACGGGTGCTCGAAATGACCGCGGATGGTGCCGCCACATGTAGACAAAAAGGAAGACGTCACCAGCACTACAACAATGATAATAACAGCAATTAGATGCTCATTTATTGGCAGATGCTGTCTCTCATGGCAAGCGCTTTCAGGGCCACACAGGGTCCACTTCGTCAGGCTCAGGGCCACACAGGGTCCCCTTCGTCAGGCTCAGAGATGAGCCTCTCTGAGCCTGACAAAGGGGACCCTGTGTGGCCCCGAAAGCGCTTGCCAATGAGAGACAGCATCTGTCAATAAATGAGCATCTAATTGCTGTTATCATCATTGTTGGAGTGCTGGTGACGTCTTCCTTTTTGTCTCTAGAAGTATAAGGGACACAATGACATTTATCAGTCAATGCATGGCAGTGATCTGCACCTCTCCCAAGGGTAGTACCAGACTGAACCCCCATCTACAGATAAATGCTAAACTGAATCAAGGTCCTTTAAGGCTACACAACGATACAGAAGATGTAAATATTCTAATATCTACTTGAGTTTGAATTAGAATGGTTAAGATCAGTTATCAAACATAATTAACTGAAGATTTATTACAATCTAAAAATCAGAATGAAATCTCATTACCTTCCCTCCTCCTTGAGCTACAACGTTTCCTCGTTCTTCAGCTTTTTCAACCAAAGCCAAAAAGACCCTGGAGAATGAAGTAAATTGGAAAGTTCTGAGACGTCAGAAATGTTAGTGAAAAATATATGCAATGGCCTATATGTCAAAAATTGGTCTTTACCCACCTCCCTACTACTGTAATGTTAAATAAAACCCCAAAAAACAAAAACAAAATGGTGGGGAGGTGGATGTCCATTTTCTGGAATGATGTCATAGCCCTGTTGAGGACAGCTCAGCACACAGGGACACTGTACGAAGCTGAACCAAGCAGCTCAGTACTATATGATTGCGGTGATGACTTATCATGGCAGTCATGTTACTGTTACAGTGAAGATCCCTCCACTTTCTCTTACTACAGAGGAAGGAGAGGAATGGTTGTGAATGAGAGAATGACTAAAAGGATCGGCAGCTGCTAACTCTATAATTCATTCTCAATGACTCCATTTGTTAACCCCCTTTTTACACCTATATAGTTCAATATTACCAAGCTCCATGTCTTAATCCCTTCAATATCAACATGTTTCTTCATTTCCAAAAAAACTGCATCAAAAAAGTTAGATCACCTTGGGGTGTCTACTTTCCAAAAAGGTGCCATTGCGGGGGTGTTCATACTATTTGTGCATTTTTATTCTACCAGAAAATAAGGGAACGTGGTTTTCAGTTTTTATTTTGAATTTTTCCTTTCAATAGTAAAAAATAAAAAAAAAACCCAATGGTTATTAAATACCACTACAAGAAAGCGCTGTCTCAAAAAATGATAAAAAATGTATTTGGGCACGATGCTACATGACCGATTGTTAAACTATCACAGCACTTAAAACCAAAAAATGGTCTGGTGATGAAGGTATACGGTATTTACAGACTGATACTCAAGTGATTAAAAGAAACCTGTGTCTGAAGGAAACATGTAGGCTACCTGACTGCCTCTGGCTTTACTACTTGGGCTCACTGACCCTGAATGGATATAGAGCAACCCTGGTCGGACTGCATGTCAAATTACTTGATTTGTATGTTTGTGCACAGCCAGTGACTTTCACAGTCTCTCACAGGACAGACCTGACACAGGCTGGTTGCTGTAAACATTCATAAAACAATAATGAAAACCTTATAAAAGAAAAAAGTAGAATTACCTGGATATCAGTTCCCTTGAGGAATCAGTTAGTGCAGGACTTTCATTTTTCACCATGCATGTCAGAGCAGACACCACTCCTGCCGCCAGTAACTTCTGCACCCGTGCCTCCACAAATTCTTTCTTATCCTACAGTTAATGACACCACATTATCACAAGAGTGTTCAGTGAAAAACCCAAAGTCACAATATGCCTCAACTCAAATCCAGATGGCCTCTCACCTTCGGGTGCTCCTCAGGAACATGCTGCTTGGCATACTTTGCCAGTTCCAACATCTGTGGGTCTATTTCTTCACGATCATAGCTGTTTGTACAGTTCACCAGGGTGGATGCAACTGCGAAAAGGACAGTCTTGTCTTGTGACTAGAAAGAATAAAAGCAAACACTTGTTTATAGAACAGGCCACTATTTCCATTCAAACAGCAACAAGCATTTTAAACATTGTGGGTCATAGCAAAAAGCAATATAGCTGGATATTTCACACAGGAAACATTAATATCATGTAAAAATACAACAAACAGTAGCAGAAGGCAGCCCACCAAATCTTCTATTACATGTTTTGTTTGTATTGCTGTCTATCTTTCTTCTATTTTATTATGTGTGCAGCAATCTAGGTGTTAATGCTTGGCTTGACAAATACAGTACTAGGTGATTAATAAACAGCCAATTATCAATCAAACACATTCACAGTAGCACAATCCATAAGTTGAAAAACTTAAACCAAAAAGTCCCAAAACAAGAGATAATAATCTTCCTCCACTGTGTGAATAAAGTGCTGTTCTGTGCAGATCTTTACAAATGGTGCCAAAACCAAAGTGCTCCTCACCTGCACACCTTTATGTAAAAGACTCACCCACAAGATGCGTAGAACCCACTGCTACTCTCTAAGGATTCTATGTCCTTTCATCAAATACCAACTTTTTCATCAAGCATTTAAGACCTTCTTAATATTAAGGGGTCATATGCATCTGGTGAGTGTGTCTTGTATGTAAAGGTGTGGAGGTGAAGAGCACTTTTGGTTTGACACCATTTGTGAAGATCTGCACAGCAGATGCATTTGTTCTTATATTTGTATTCATTAGGAATGCACTTATACCGGTACTAGTATCGGTGCCGATACCAAGTATTTGGGCGAGTACTCGTACTCACCCAAATGCTCTGATCCCGGAACTTTCAGTCAGAGGAATATTCCCTCTGACCGGCAGCGCCATAGGGAAACATGGAGCCGGCTACCTGGGCATTCAGGAAGCCGGTTGTCGAATAATGACCGAACAGCTGGCTCCATGATGAATGTCAGAGCAGACACCACTCCTGCCGCCAGTAACTTCTGCACCCGTGCCTCAACAAATGCTTTCTTATCTTACAGTTAAAGGCTGGGAAGATGGTTTTCCAGCAAATCAGCATGGAGCCAGCTTCCCGGCCAATCAGGAAGCCGTGTCATTACTCGCCGCCTGGCTTCCTGACTGCCCGGGAAGCCGGCTCGATGCCGATTGGCTGGGAAGACGGCTTCCCAGCCAATCAGCATTGAGCCAGCTGTTAGGCAGGCTCGATGCTGTTTGGCTGGAAAGCCATTTTCCCAGGCCAATCATCATCGAGCCGGCTTCCCTGGAAATCAGGAAGCCGGGCGGCGTGTCATTACCAACTGCCCGGTTTCCAGATTGCTCGGGAAGCTGGCTCCATGCCAGCAGAAGCACTGGTATCGTTACTCGGTATCGGCGAGTACCGACAGCAAAGTATCAGTACTTGTACTCAATACCAAAAAAAACTGTATCGGTGCATCCCTAGTATTCATGCATTTGTATTTTTTGTAGAACTGCAATTGCCCGAATGCTCTTATATACAAAGTAATTACTGAATGTGATGGAAAAAATGTACCTTTGCTAAACTGAACATGGCCTGTAAAGCTGCTTTATCTTCTACAAATTCCTCCTTAACATCAGCGTCAAATGTTAGATAGGCCAAGCCTTCCACTGCCCATCGGCGGGTGCTTGCCTGAATATTCTCATTGCACAACCACCTACAAAGCAAGAAGCCGATGGTCTCAGATTACGTAATGTAACATATAACTTTATGGCACAATGACCTTTAGTCTATGTGAAGGAACTCACTTGCGACATTGTTTAGCCAGCTTGAGAGTAGATCCTTCTGCAAACTGTTTCATGCTGAAGTCTGTGCCACCTGCTGATCCCAGTTTACACAAACCCTGCAGAAAGAAAACTGGATGACTAGGCATCTAAAACATGAAAAAGAAAGCTTATGGAATGTTTTTGGAACACAGTCACACAAAAGGACAGAGGCATACCACCAAGGCTCTTATACGGATGGCATCATTTTCATTTTTCTTGTAAATATCCTTGAGTAAGGTCACCCCATTGGCAGTGATGAAGGAGGCTCGCTTAGCTTTGCCAGCTGCATGGATCAATGCCTCAACTGCCACCTGCTGATCAATCTCCCGCTCTGAACCGCACAGAGCTATAATACTCTCCATTATGCCTGTAAGTTCGAGAGTCCGATTCCCAGCCTCAGATGGGCCCTGTAATAAGCAGGAGACAGTTTGTATGGCTCGTAGTTTCCCATCCATACCGTGACCTTCAAACCAGCTCCTGCAAGTGAGATGTTAAGAAAATAAACAAGGCTGCCAACAAAGCATGAACAAATATATTTTTAAACATGTAAACATAATAAAGTAATTCATTGGGTATTAAAGGCTTCCTTTGCCTAGTTGTAAACTTATTTTGTGCCCAAACATACCTTGGCAAACAGGTGCTCTAGAAAGCAAATGGCAACCACAACCTGTATGGTCCTTCCTACCACCTGCACTTTATTACTGCCCAGAGAGACCACCCATCATATGCTGGCCAACAGGAGACATGGGTGCTACCGTGTTTCCCCGAAAATAAGACACTGTCTTATATTTTTTTTGTCTCAAAAAAACACACTAGGTCTTATTTTCGGGGTAGGTCTTTTTTTCATGTACAACAATCCAAAATGAATGCAAATCCAAATTAAATAATCCAAAATGGCAAAGTTAAGAATAGGGTGATCAGGGCAATCAGGGGTGCCGTACCTTTCCAAGAGCAATTTGGTAACCAATCGCTGGCCAGAATGAGCAAAGCGCGCTTTCACTATTGATTCCTCACAGGTGGAGTGCATTTGATATCACTCCGCCTGTGACAAGAGCCGGTGCTATAGAGGAGGCATTGGCTTATGTGGCTCTGCTCCCTCCGCTGCCGCCTCGCTTGCTCTAGCGCTGGCTTCGTTTCACCACTGATTCTCTCCCGCTGCTCTTCAAGTTTCCCCTTATGCCACCACCGGGCCCTGGGAATGGTCACAACTAGGTCTTATTTTCGGGGTAGGTCTTATATTTTAGCAATTCCCAAAAATAGAACTAGGTCTTATTTTCGGGGTAGGTCTTATTTTCGGGGAAACAGGGTAGAAAGGATGGAGTTTCAGGGCAACCATTCAGGCTATAGTTGCAAATTTCTTTATAAAGCACCCAGGGAATGAGGCTGTTGAGGTGCACTGCAAAGAAACAAATGCATGCAAACACTTGGTGGTGTAAATTACCTTACTCCACAGGTTCACTTTAAGGGTTTTTTGTAGGAGTTAGGATAAGGGTTTCATAAAGGGGAGGATAAAGGTTGTGTTTTATGGACAGTCTAGTGTTAGGGACCATTTACTTGACTTACTTTTGGTACTAATGGTCCCAAGGCGAGGACAACAGCACAACAATTATACGGAAAAAAGGAAGCATCAGACACATCCAATGAGTTAGTAAACCACACACACAAACCGTCATCTGCTATTGCAGGTTTTATACGCATGGCTAATTAGTATGTCACAAGACAGGGTTACTGCTTGTTTAGGAATGCTACAACGTAGAGAAAAAAAAAACACTTTATACCGAGTTTCAGATCTGCCTCAAAACAGATCTTCATTGTTGAAAGGTCCCCTTTAAAGTCTTCTTACCGAACATAATCTTCACAAAGCTTGTAGAAATTCTCTCTCTCTGCGTCACACTTGAGATCATCAAAGAGCTTATTTAGCAGGACAGAAGCGCTCATTCTGGTGGTCTCTGTAATGGACAGGCTGCCTGGGATCTCCACTAGGGAGCTTCCTATTTCAAGGATTTTCTTCAAACCTAACAACAACAACAACAACAACTTAGATTGAATATTTCCAGCACTACTGCAACAAAGTGAAATTCACTTGCTTCCTCAAAGGTAGAATACTGAAACTTTAAAGCATTATTAAATCTGGAAATCTTTCAGATCTAAATCAGGATAAGCAACCATGGTCCCCTAGCTTCCAGCTAATTCATAGCAATGACTTGTAACACAGGTATTCTAGTATTATACAGGTATTCCAGTTCTTGTCACTTGTTCCACCTCCCTGTATAATGAAATACTAGTTTAATAAAACCCCCACTGTCTAACACAATGCGTTGGCAACTTCAGGCATTACTATATATGCATATATACAATATATGCTCCATTATGGAGGATCTCGTAGATTAGAGTTAGGACCACACTACACAGAGGAGCCCTGATGAGGCAGTGTGGCTTCCACATTTTTTGTAAAAGTTTTGCAACTGAAATCTCTGTTTATAACACATATTGTTAGACAGTGTCATTTATTTTTCTTGCAGGCTAGCTGGTAAGTGTGCTGGGAAATGTCTGTCTTTTGTATTATACGATCTAAGTTATATTTAAAGCGCAAGTAAACCACTATGTAAATGTATGCTTTTTGCCCCAATGTACAAGTATGCACAGCACACTTGCACATTAGGGCAGACTTTCCTTACAAGTGTGCCCCTCTCCAGCACAGTCAGATCAATCTTTGGCCCTCAGTTCTGTCCCCTGCTGCCGCCACTGCCACTTTCAAGTTTTTGGAAGTCCTCTTCGGCCATTGGGTGGCCACTGATGATTTTACTCCTACACATGTGCACAGGAGTTACATCTTCCACAGCAGCCGGCCCATTCATGGCATCTTGAAGATGCCGTGAATTGGCTGAGTGTATACACTGCACTGTACAGAAAAAGTTAAATAAAAAATATTGCTGGGGGAGAGAGGAAAACATTTTTTTGTTGTCCAATCAATGTTTATTGATTTTAAAGGTTTTTCAAGCAAGAAATGTAAATACAACATAGTAGCACAGAATGGAAGTACAGATCAGTCAATGTTGCGTATACAAATAAAATCGTATAAAGTTCACATTAACCACCTTACGTCCATGGCCGTTTGTGAACGGCCAGATGGACGTCTGCTCAGAGCGGGAGGGCGTCTTAAGACGTCCTGCCCCTCCCCCCTCTCGTGTCCGCGCTGAGCGCCGCACACGAGAGGGAAAAAACAACCATTAAAGCCCTTCGGGCTGTCAGGAGATATAAAACGGGTGGAATTTTTTTTTTTAAACTTCCGCTTTAACAATATGAAATCAATAACTGCAACAAAGGAAAAACATGATAGCATGCATCAGTCGCGTTACTTATACATATTATGATGAGGGGCTGAAATAATGGAGCTTTAATAGGTCAGTCATCCACTTACCTTGATCAATGACCCACAAGGTCATTCCATTATTGGTATCACGCAATGACTTCCGTGGTACCACTTTTATGAGAAGATTAAGAGAATTCTCTCTGCCGTGTGAGGACACATTTGCCTGAGTTAGCATCTCAAGCAGGTGATGAATCATTGACTTCAGTTCCTTAGAGGGATCTTGAAAGACACGAATCAAAGATATAACATTTTTGTAAGATTAACTCTGTATTGCTATTGCTGCATTACATTTAGATGTTTACCTTGAATAATTGCTCCTTCCTTTGCTCGGATATCCTTTTTCATGTCTTCTTTCAGAGTATCAAACATGGTATTGAGGACGGTGCATGCAGCAAGAGATACTGGCTCATCATCCACTGCCATCACTGCACAAAACTTCTCCATACTCACCGCATGAAGGATAGCCAATGTCTAGAGAAATACATGAACAGAGCTATAGATGGCAATTGTAAGTTTTATTTATCTCTACATAGACCTCTATCCACAAACCATAATGATTTTCAAACTTGCAGCGCCGTTTATCTTACACAAGTAATAGAGAACCAAAAGAGTCACCCTAATGGGAGTATAAACTTACTCGAGGCTGATGACCAGTGCAGAGACCAACAAAAGTCCTCAGAGCAGCCAACATCATGTCTGCTTTCTTAGTGTCCAATAGTCGTACCAGGAGGCGGACTCCATCACTCTGGAAAATCTTCTCTGCTCCGGCATCTTCTCGAGCCAAGACCACCAAATTCTGTGCCGCCTGCAAATAAAAGGTAGATGAAATCTTCAAACTTAATGTGGCATTTCCAGTAGGTATCTCTGTGCTCATGTCTTTGGAGACCTTGATGACTTCTGTAATGCTCCAGCCTATCTAAACTATCAGACTGTTAGTTTTGTGTTAATGACTTTATCTAATGAAGTGCAAACTGAAATGAATGTAAAATGTAACCTAACAGTTGGATACTGTATAATATTGTGGTATCAGAGATTGGCAAATGTTCTAAAAGAAATGTGCTGTCAGAAATGTGTTGGGTGCCATAGCAGATGTCTCCTTCTGAAAATGCTGGTTGGCTGTCAAGCTGATCCAATGGCTTCAATACCTTTTAGATCAATTAAAAAAAAAAAAGTTATTGATCTGTAGAAAGTGAGGATCACTAGCACTCAGAAGATGACATTCAAATCATAATGTCCGTTTATTCAAATAAATCGTCACAAATATCACATAGCTAACGTTTTCGGGGGCCACACAGGGTCCCTTCATTAGGGCAATAAAGTCACCAGTCATAATGTGATGTGATATTTGTGACTATTTGAATAAACGGACATTATGATTTGAACCTCATCTTCTGAGTGCTGGTGATCCTCACTTTCTACTGATTGATGTACATGACGCCATCCGTGATTATCACTATGAGCACCACCATTGTTATTAGTTCTCAAACGCTGCAAGGAGTGCGGGCGGGGGGGGGCACACGGTTACACTACATTGTTATTGACCTGACTTCACTTGCAGTATGCTTGTGCTGAGTGAGTAAAAGTACTGAAGCCACAGATCATGATCATGACAGCCAAACAACAAGCATTTTTCAAAAGGTCAGCAATGGCAGGCTTTTTATTGTAGCACAGATCCCTTTGAAATCCGTTCTGCTGACAATTCACCCTACAATCCCCTACATTGCAATGAAAAAAATCATTAACATGTCACAGATTTGTAAGCCATGATTGATTGTCCATGCTCGCGTCTACCAAAAGACATCCTTCTTCTAATTACCCTGCTGTTACATTGGTTGTGTCATCATAGACCTCCTGATTGGCTCAGGGAAAGTACAGGGGAAAAAGTGGCACATATACATTGTACTATGTGTCCTATAAATCAGTGAAGGGAGTTGGAGGGTTGACATAACTAGAGGAAAGAAAGTGGCCTAAAAACCACAATGTAGACGTAGTTATTCGTATCCTCAGCGATAGCACTATTGTTCTCCTAAAAACACAAAGAAGTCTTACGTGCCCAACCTGCTATAGGCTGAGGTCACACAAGTGCTATTCGTGCCTGTGATCCTGTCAGATACAAGGATCTTGTGGCAAAAATGCTTTGTGTCTGACAGGATTAGAGCATTATACATTGATGATGTAATAACGAAGCTCAGCGAGGTATCCGATATATTTAGCACCTTTAACCCTGCATCAGGCGTCTTTGCCAATTAGCAAGTACCTTCTGCTGCTTTTCAACATCTTTCTCATCGGGGTCGAGCAAGATGCAAAACATTTGGTCCACTCGGGAATCTGTGGAGGACATGAGCTGCACCTGCCAGAGGAAAATTACACAGTTATATGGAGTGCAGGAATAAAAAGCATCAATGTACTAATCTTACCTACAAAGAACAGTTTACTCATATCAATATTCTAAATGAATGTAATGAATAAAATGAAAACATATATAAATAGCAAATATATGCTGAGAAAAATAATGAGATTGCCAATACTCTTTTTCGTTATACTGTGGACTTTTTGAAGAACCCCCCATATTTCTAGATCTGTTTGTTCTTTTTAACATTTTGTGTGTATTTTTATTAGGCGTAAAGAGGACCTGTACTGTGGGAGCGGTGTTCAAAAAAAAAAAAAAAAAAAAAGGCAAGCAGAGGGTAAAGGATCAGTCAACAGTATAAGCAACAAGCTGAGGAAATGACACCATTCTTTTCCAATATTTTGGAACGCCCAGAGCAGAAAGCAATCAAGGAGCTCATACCAATGTATTCAGCCTTTAAATCCCAAACAGCCACGGTCCAACCCCATAACTCCAATAAAACAAAACTTCATTAGCTCTAAAGCATACCGCTCAGTCCCTCCTAAGGTCTGCTCTACTCTAGCGCACTGCACCACAAACGAGCTTAATCGTAGGGTCAGCAGTATTGCCTGTAGGATGTCTGCAGCTGATCTTTTTCCTATTACTGACTTGTCATGCTTTGTTTTACACTGTATCTCTATACTGAAGTGGCCACCTTGGTAGAGGAGCAGGGCTTTTCTTCCTCGTCAGAGCTTCTCTCCCTGATGTCTGTTGGTCTGATAACTGGAGAGGTAGTAGTTCAGAAATCAGCAGAAGAGGAGCAGAAATCACAGATCCACAGAATAGATCAAATAGAAACCGGAAGCTGTGCACACCGCCATTCCTGAGGTACAGTTTCCTATCCAGCAGCACTAAGAGCAACGGGAAGTACAGTATTGCCAAATCTTACTCCAAATCTGCTGAGACTAGCAGTCAGAGGCAGCAGTGCCTTAGATGATCCCACACTGCAGATATACAGCGACGGAACATGAGCATCTAGGCTCAGTCATAGGTCAGGAAGTAAACTGCGATTCTTTACGATGCATGCAAGACAAAACAGTCGATTTTTCAGGGTATTAGGGAAAACAGACTTTTTTTAGTTCCTATCTTTTCAAAGCATAAACTACAGCAACCAATCAGCAGTTGACTGCTGTGTTCAGATGAAAACCAGTAGTTGTGGGTCACTGCACATCTGAACAACTTCCTGCAGTTGAGGCAGAACAGTGAAACAATATGTTTATAGCATCTGACTCCACAACAGTAAAAAACATCCTTCTACCTCAGAAAATCATTTTCTATGATATCATGTACTGCATTTGGAGGTGCACCGAAATGAAAATTTATAAAACGAAACCGAAGTGAAAAAAAATGTCAGGCCGAGACCAAAAATGTTTTTTATTCTAACTTTTTCACATTTTAAAAAATATTTTCTATTTTTTATAAACTTTTTAATTTTTTCATATTTTATTTTAAGTTATTCATTTCTACTAAAAAAAATTATTTTTTAGTTTACTTTTAGGGGCTTCGGGGAAATATTAGGGGTCTAAACAGATATTTCCCATTTAAAATAGAAAAAGAGATTGAGAACACAGTGTCCTCTATCTATTTTTATGCAGTCCCTGTTATAAATGAACAGGAATCCTCTATACTGAGTGTTCCTGTTCATTCATAACTTGTGGATATAGTATGTGTACTATAACCCCAATCATGAATGAACAGGAGGTGATGTAGATCACTACCCATTAATTCATAATTGAGGATATAGTAACCATACTGTGTGCTCAATTTTTTAATCAGCGATCGCTGATTTTTGTATCCGCTCTCCTTCCTGACAGCTGTCACAGGAGGCTGAGCGAGCGTTGTGGGAGGAGAGCCCAGCCTCCTGCGACAACAATGACAGCTGTCTCAGCCCACACCGCCGCTCTCCATCCTGGATTGGCTGTCACAGGAGGCTGGGCGGGAGGAGAGCTCAGCCTCCTGTGACAGCGCTGGCTGTCTCCGCTAATACTGCCGTCTCTCCCGGTCTGTGACAGGAGGCGGAGCGATGTGGGGAGGAGAGACGCTGGCCGCTCACAGCGCTCTCTTCCTGCAGCGCTCGGCCTCCTGTGACAGTTCCTCTCCTTCCCGCTGCGACACACAGCAGCACCCAGCTGGAAGGAAAAATAGAACAAATGGCACTTGCGGCCGATATATTTTGGCGGCGGGTATATTGGTGCATCTCTAATTGCATTAATAAGTATATATTATGTAAGGAGATGTGCATGGAATATTTCAAATCATTCTCATGAATGGAAATCTTATGGCCACTATATTTTCCGCTGCATGTTGATTTCTTTTTCTAGATTTGCACAGATTCCCACACTAATCAGTCTCTAGTTTTACATATTAGTCTTACCTCTAGCAAGGATTCAGTGGGAAGCTTGGTACACAAGGAGTGAATTTTGTCCGATTCAGCAGGAATCGGCCAAAATTTGATCCGTGGGTGGCCCTATACCCTTGACAGAAGTAAATCATAAGACAAACCTTTGTTGAAGAGACACAAATCATCAGTCAAAACAGTGCTTGGAGCCAATAAGCTGCAAGCACTGTTCTAGTATTCTGAGAGTGGCTGGCGCTGCTGTCAGAATACAACATACACAGCTGGAGATTCCTTCATCCGCACGGTTAGCCTGAATGAAGGAAAATCGGTCATATTTTTTTCATTCAGGCTACAACTTAAAAAGGAGAACTATAGGGTCAGTGTTTTTCCCCATAGTTCTCCTTAGGGTAACGGGAGGCCACAAACTAGCGTCCTCCCGTTACCCTAAGCTCAGTATATTGCGAGCTATAGCTTGCGGTATACTGAGACGCAGCAGCCGGAGAGGATCCCGACTTAGATGACGGGATCCGCCCAGCTGCGTGAGTGACAGCTGGCTCTGCCTATCTGGAGGCAGAGCCAGCTGTACCCGCCCCCTCCCCCGTCCGTTCCGCCAGTCAGCGCTGGCAGATCGGAGCGGGGAGAGGGGAATCCAGCCCCTCCCCCTGTCACGGCAGAGAGCCGTGACAGGATCGAGAGGTGAGCGAACGCCGGTATGTGTTCGCTCACCTCCCGATCTACTGAGCCGACCTGTGACAGTCTCATTGTCACAGGTCGGCTAGAACTATGAGGGGAGTGGAAATCACTCATCTCATAGTTCTCCTTTAATACAATCATGGGGGAGAAATGAAGGCTGCAGTAGACAATACAGTCTATGGAGAGAAGCAAGTAACACTGAGGGCAGCAATTATCTGCTCTAGAATCAGATAAGATGCACCCCGTTTATTCTGAGTTTCTATTTTACAGTGTCAAAGCAAAATGTACATGGTCTAGCAATAAACAATAATCCTTACCCACCTTTGGCTTCATATTGATACTGTCAGAGTCGATCACAAGTTAGAAATGTGTATCTATACTATAATCATTTACTTCCCCTTGGCTAGTAGTTTGTTGCATGCTTGGACTTCTACTTTACACACATTCCACATATACTGAATGAATGTGTCCCACGCATACCTTTTCCTGTGCCCGGACTCCCAGGTTTCTTACAGCATCCTGAAATACTTTATTTTTGGGTTCCAACGTCAAACACCTGCGAAGATCAAGGATGGCCTGGTCTATGCGCCCCAGTTTCTCCATGGCCTGACTGTGCCTGAACAGGGCCTTCACATCACCGCCATCCACCTCTATAGCTGCAGAAGAAAGAGCCATGACGAATGTTATCTTTAAATTTGATATGTTCTCCAAGGCTTTTACAGCACCTCTGATAAGTAATATAAATGATGGAAATCATGAATAGCTATCCTAGCGGTAATAATATTGATCACAACACCTGTAAGACAGAATAGAGGAAATGACCACCATGGGGCATATAAAGCAGTCATCTTCATGGCCACATGACTAGGCGCAACAGGCCTGCGCCTATAGGCAGCAGAGACAAAGAGGCAGCTTTTCAGAGGAAACTTGGTAATCATCCAGAACCCCACCCCCCATCTTCAAGAAACATACCACGACCTCATATAATGTACATGTATTCTAAGCCGACTTAGACCAATAAAACAAGAAACATTTCTGTGGTCTTCCTAGCAGGAAACCAATGTTGTGATGGTAATCTGGCCCTGGCCATCCCATACCATGACTTATGGGTAAGCTTCAACTCACACACGCTGATCACAAGCTTTCCGATCTGTACTACTTATTTCTCTTGAGGACTATGGTTCACTCTGTTCCAATCAAGTCATAGTTAATGGAGTAGACGTCCATTTACCTTTTGATGCATCTTCCTCTGCTTTTGTGTAGTTTTCCTGCAAAAGAAAACACAAATGACAATCTATTTTCACCATAGGTGTACTCTCTTATTGGAAAGGGACCCCTAAGGCTCTGACTACAGAAAATTAAGTTGCCTGTATGCACACCTTGAGGATTCTGAGGGCACAAGGTTGGTTTTTTTGGGGGGGATTTTTTAATCGGATCAATTCAAGCTACATGTGTTTACTGAAACAAACAAGCTACCGGTATGTCACTACGTACTGACTAATTCTCCCTACATTGCTCTTCCCGGGCTCTTTAGTGGATGAACTTGGCATTTGTTTGCAGGAAATGAACAGCACTGGAACTCCAGATTAACACAATCATGTGTTCCCAGAGCACAATGAATTATGATGCAATCTTCATGTAAAGATGAGAATGAAATGTGCCTGAGCTCCATTTAATGTCTTTTGTTGACATGACAAATGACATGCGGCCTCATTTCAAGTTCAAATGGTGGCTTCGGTGTGAGTTCTGTGACATGGGAAGAGTCAAACAAACAATAAGGGGAATTTACTAAGACTGCAGCAGACAAAAACTGGAGCAGGTTGTACATGGCAACCAATCAGCTTCTCTTTCATTTTCAAAGCTTAAAGTGACATTAAACCCCCCCCCCCCCCCCCCCCCTCTTTTTAAACAACTCC